AAAGGGCCCTGGATGCGTTCTTTTGGGAGGGCTGTGTCGATTCAGGAACTCTGTGACTTTCTCAGACGCACTGGTGAAAGGGCACGTGGAAGAGCTGACGCTGACCTGCTTCAAGACCAAGTCTTTCCCCTTCTCTGGGCCTCAGTTTTCCCATCTGTGAAATGAATGAGCTGCATTATAGGAGTATAAAGAATAAATGTAAAATGGCTATCATTTAGTGAGCACTTACTGTATGCTAGGTGCTAGTGTTATACTAAGTACTTTATAAGCACTGATTCCTCAGAACGATCTCATGAGGTAAATGTCTTTGTTGTCCCCATTTGTCTTATGGAGACATTGAAACAGAACAGTATTTGCCCAAGGTCACACAGTCAGAGGCTGAAAAAGTTGGGATTCGAACCTGATCTGACTAATTTCAGAGCCCAAACTTCATCCACACTACTCTTCCTCTCCTCTGCCTAGTAAGTAGTAAGAAAGTGGTCCTAAAGGCAGTGGTTCAACTCCCAGCTCTTTATTTTTGGAATGACCTTGGGCAAGTCATTCCCCTCTCTGAGCCTTAGTTTCCCCATCTGTAAAATGAGTTGTTGTGAAGGCTTCAAGAGGACTTCAGAAAAGAAGTCAGCACTGCCCCGATACATGAATGATGACCATCATATTTATTATCCCACGCCTGGGTGTCCACTCAGCAGGGTGGCCTGTGGCCCTTGCAGGCCCCTTTCCTGGCCGGTCGCTCACAGTCTGGTCTCCCCAGATTGCCCGGCTGGAGCAGACATGGATGACCTTGCGGCAGCGACATACAGAGGGTGCCATCCTCTACGAGAAGAAGCTCAAGCCGTTTCTGAAGAGCCTCAACGAAGGCAAAGGTACCTCCCCCATGTTGCTGTGTGACCTTGTACAGGTTTCAACCCTCTCTGGGCCAGCAATGACTTTTCCAGTGTGGATGATGATGAGAGCTTGACTGAGCTCTGTACAAGCGATTCTTACACTCACTCTGCACCTGGCAACTGGGTAGGCCGCGTCCAGGCTCAGCCCTCGGGGCCAGGCCAAGGGTGCAGTGGATTTAGTTTAAGGAATCTGAAAGGAAAGGTCTTTCCAGGAGTCAGGAACCCCGGGGGCTTTCTGGGACCTCAGGCAGGCCTCACCCCTTCCCCTCCCAGTCTCAGTCCCTCGGACCACAGTGGGCAGTGGGGCCCTCCAGAGTCTCTAAGGGCCCGCTGTCTCCCTCCCTGCAGAAGGCGCACCGCTGAGCAACACCACGTTTCCTCATGTACTGCCACTCATCACTCTGCTGGAGTGTGACATGGCCCCAGCAGAGGGCCCCGAGCCCTGGGGCAGCACGGAGCACGGCGTGGAGGTGGTGCTGGCCCACCTGGAGGCTGCCCGCACGGTGGCACACCACGGCGGCCTGTACCACACCAACGCCGAGGTCAAGCTGCAGGGTGAGTCACTGGTCCTTCCAGCCTGGGCCTCCCTCCATTTGCCTTATTCTCGCCTTCCCTCAAACGTTCATTCCCATTTCTCCACACCTCTTTCCTGCCCGTCTCCCCGACTCATTTTACTCATCCCTTTTCTTTCCCCCTCAGGTCAACAAGCAGTTGTTAGTGGCAGGCGCCAGGTAGACACAGATGACTGAAAGAGCATCATAGCTGTGTGTTTTAGCTTCTCTGAGCCTCAGTCTTCTCATCTGTGAAGTGGGCATCCTAACAGGCCCACTTCACCAGGTTGTTCGCAAAGCGTTCAGCCTGGGGTCCTGGGCTGAGACAGACCTGCCCTGCCTCCCAGGAGCTTAGTCTAGTAAAAGGTCGAACTCTGTCATGAAAGGAGCAGAGAGAAAGTGGCTTCAGACAATCCATCTTTTACTGCTTTAGGCATTATTTGAGTCGTAAAAGTTTACTGTAGACAAATTGAAAATTCAAGCTGAGTAAAAACAAGGTAAAAAAAAAAGTCACTCACAATTACCCGAGGTAAATGCCGTGAGCATTCTGGTGCATGCCTTCCTGACTTTTTCTTCTTCTTCAGAAAAAAAAACACTTTTTTTGCATTGACTTACAAAATGGATATATGTTACTTAGGAAAAATTTTGGAACGTACAGAAAAACACGAAAAAGAAAAGAAAAAGCACTCAAGTCCCCCCTGACTTAACATTAATATTTTATCTTCTAGTCATTTAAAAATAATATGTTGCAAATAGTAGGGCAAAGACTAGGTACGAAACATGTGTGGCCATGTCCATCAAAAAACTTTGTTGAGCCCTGGCCGGTTTGGCACAGCGGTTAGAGCGTCAACCCATGGACAGAGAGTCCCGCTAAGGGCATGTACCTCGGTTGCAGTTTGTCCCCAGCCCTGGTTGGGTCGTGTGGGTGGCAACCAGTCAATGTGTCTCTCTCACGTCAGTGTTTCTCTCTCTCTCTCTTCCTCCCTCTCTCCCTCCTGCTCTATCTGAAGATAAATGCAAAAGTGTCCTCGGGTGAGGATAAAAAAACAACAACAACTGGTTGACCCCTAGCCGGTTTGGCTCAGTGGTTAGAGCATTGGCCCTGGGACCAAAGACTCACGCGTTCGATTCCAGTCAAGGGCACGTACTTCAGTTGCAGTTCAACTCTGGCCCTAGTCCAGATGGTGCGGGAGGCAGCCAATCTCTTTCTCTCTTTCTCTCCCACTCTATCCAAAAATAAATTTAAAAAATATATCCTCGGGTGAGGATTGAAAAATATATATATATATATATATATATATATATAAATTTATATATATATATATATGAAGCCTTGTTGAATCTCTGGCAGAGCTGGGGGAGGTGTCCCTGGGAGTGGGGCCCTGAGGGATGTGCCGGCTCCCCCGAGAGCCCCAGCCTCCCTAGCTGGATGGTGGTCCTCTAAGCCTCTGCCCCTCCCTGCAGGGTTCCAGGCCCGGCCCGAGCTCCTGGAGGTGTTCAGCACTGAGTTCCAGATGCGCCTCCTCTGGGGCAGTCAGGGCGCCAGCAGCAGCCAGGCCCGGCGCTATGAGAAGTTTGACAAGGTTCTCACCGCCCTGTCCCATAAACTGGAGCCTGCCGTCCGTTCCAGCGAGCTGTGACCCCCATGGACCCTTCCCCTATGCAGCTGTGGGCAGCATCGGGGACAGAGGGGCACAGACCTTTCCCCAGAGCACCCCAGGGACACTGTGACCAGCCCAAGAATGTTCTGGACTCAACGCCAAGATCTCCCTTGCACCTCCAGGGTTCAACCTGGACTCTGGGCTTCGTCCCACCTACTACATGCTCACCAAGACTCCCTTCAGGAAGACCCAGAAGCCCTGTTCCTCCCTCCAGCTTCTGCCTCTCCCCTTCCTGCTGAGGTGCCCTGTGCTTGAGCCACAGGGGGCTTCTCAGGCCTCCGCTCTTCTCAGGCGTCCGCTCCCCCGGCACCAAGGCCTCAGTAGCTGTAAATAAGTCTTTCTGTTCTGTAAATAGATGTACAGAAGCCATGCTCTTTCTTTCATATAATAAACTTTTATGACTCTTTCTTCTGTCTCTCAGGAGGCCCTAGGGTGGGAGGAATAATATTTCTCAGGCGAAAGGGGAAACAATTCACTTAACAAATATTTATTTAGCACCTGGGACATTCCAGATTATACCAGGAGCCGGAGTTACTGCCAATACTAAACCCCAGTCATTGTCCTGGAGCAGCTCACAGCCAGTGGGGGAGATAAACAGCCAATTCCAACCAGTGAGAGAAATACTGCCTGCCCCTCCTACTCCATTCCCTGCCCCTGGGAGGCCACAGCAAAGGTTCCCAAAGACACACAACCAAGGATTCCAGATGTTTGGGGTGGAAGGGCTGTTTGAAATCTAGGATTCTACCTTCTCTCTGGGAAACTGGGTCTGTGACCTGGGTCACAGGAGCACAATGAGGAAGGCTGGAAGCTGGGTGTCCTGATGTGGAGTTCTTCTCTCTCCTCAATGGTGGGAGCCACTGATTTCTTTTTGGGCTTTGAAATGTGGCCCCAGAAGTCGTGTGTGTGTGTGTGTGTGTGTGTGTGTGTGCGCGCGCGCGCAGGGTGGGGCAGAGAATCTTTGAAAAGGGACATGAACACAGTTGTCTTGATTGCATAGGTGGGGGAGGTAGGCAATGGGACGGATACGATTTCCGGCCAGGCTGGAAGTCTGGGGTCCTTTCCCTTCTGAATTCTTTGAGAGAGGCCGGGTAGTGCATTAGATCTTTGGTAGCAGCCAGACTTGAATTCAGTTCTATTGTTTACTAGTTGAGTAACCTTGGATGTGAGGCTTAACTTCCCAGGTCCCAGTTTCCACCTCAATAAAAGGACAATAACAGAATCAATCTCTTAGGATTGCTGTTGCTGCTAGGTAAGGAACCACTGTTTTATACATAATGGATTATCAACAATCATTTATTGATTACTTTGAGCCCAGACACTTTATGTGCCTGTACCTCGTTGAAATATCACCATTTTTTCCCCTGTATGACAGTTACTGTTATCATGTCATAAGATATATAAGGCAGTCCAGCCCGAGCAGCTCAGTGGATTGAGCATCGTCCCATGGACTGAGAGGTCCTGGTTCAATTCCCCATCAGGGCACATGCCCGAATTGAGGGCTCGATCCCCCTTGGGGGGGGAGGGCATGCAGGAGGCAGCCAATCGATGCTTCTCACATCGATGTTTCTCTTCTTTCTTTTTTTTTTTTTTTTTGGTACGTGCCCCTAGCGGGAACCGAACCGAACCGGGACTCTCTGGTCTGCTCCAGCCGGCCAGGGCATAATTCTTTATTATTCTTTTGGAGCTACGGGATGGTCCCCTAGTTGCCGTGGTTATGGAAACGCGGCCCGCCGTCCCGGATTGGACAGCTCGCGGGCTCCCCCTGGAGGCCACCTTCCGGTTCTGCAGCAAAACGACGGGGCGGGCCTTTGAGAGGGGCGAGAGGGCAGCCGGGAGTTGTAGGCCAAAGCGGGTGGCGGCCGCCGGGCGGTGCACGCCGGGAGCGGTAGTTCTCGGGAGAAGCGGTTGGCGGCCCCAGACCCAGCTCGGGCCTCACCCGGATGGCGGCTGAGACGCGTGGCTGCCGGCCCTGGGGCTCGCTCCTCCTCGGGCTGCTCGGGCTGGTCTCGGCCGCGGCCGCTGCCTGGGACCTGACTTCGCTGCGCTGCAACTTTGGCACCTTCTGCGAATGTGACTTCCAGCCCGACTTCCCGGGTGAGGAGCGGAGGGGCGGGCGCACCGGAGCGCCCAGACTCCGGCGTTGCGCCGGGACGGACCCGGAGGGTAGAACCGAGGGGCTGACCCCGACTTCTGCACGGCCAGGGCCGGAAGCGAGCCCGGCGCTGAGAGACCCCGCGAGCCTGGGGCACGGGACTTGGGGCGAGGGTTTGTTTGGGGTCCTGGCAGAGCCCTGCCGGGATGGAGAGAGGCCTTTGACAGCGGGGCCTTGGGGCAGGTTCAGGCCTCCACAATGGAATGGGCGTCAAGGGAGAAGCTTAACCTTGGGGATGGGCAGAGAGAGGGTTCTGGGGCACACTCTGTTGACTGCTCGCACCCACCTAGGTCTGAGCGCAACTCCGGGGGAGGCCTGGTGGGGGCACTGCCGAGCTGAATTAGGCCCCAGGGTGATTCCTGCCCCCGGAGACCCCTTGTGAAAAGGTCCCAGGCCACAGGGATCCCTAGACCAGGTTTCATACATCACTTCCCTCTTGAACCTCTTTCGTGGCAGGGGCATGTCTTCAGTTCTGACACTGTCCTTTCTGTGGCCCTAGGTCTGGAGTGTGACCTGGCCCAGCACCTGGCAGGCCAGCACTTGGCCAGGGCGCTGGTTGTGAAGGCACTGAAGGCTTTCGTGCAGGACCCCGCCCCCACCAAGCCGCTGGTCCTCTCCCTGCACGGCTGGACAGGAACTGGCAAGTCCTATGTCAGCTCCCTGCTGGCCCACTACCTCTTCCGGGGTGGCCTCCGAAGCCCCCATGTGCACCACTTTTCCCCCGTCATCCACTTCCCCCATCCCAGCCACATGGAGCGCTACAAGGTAGGCTGGTTGCATCCTGGGCCACCATTCCCCTGCATCAGGAGGTGCACACCCTAGGGAGGGAGGGAGGCCTAAGCCCAGAGAGAGGATTCACGTGCTCCGGGCCACACAGTCCGTTGGAGCCAGCCCTCGGGACCCATCCTGAACAGAGCTTGGGATGATGCCATTCTACCTGGCAGAGTTCTCGCTTTAATTCTTGGGGGTAGGACATTAATGGTACCTCTCTGCCAGGATTGTGAAGACCATGAGATTATATAATTACAGGTATGAATTATTGAGCACTTACCTTTGCCAGACAGTCTGCATTATCTTCTCTCTGTAAGGCACTTAGCCCCAATTTGAGGCTTAGAGTAAGTACTTAGTAAATATTAGCTCTTGCTACTATTATTGTTGTTGTTGTTACTGATTGCAAGGTACTTTTTAGGCTGATCTGTTTCAACTGTCAAAACTGCTGAGAGCCCTGGCTGGTGTGGCTCAGTTGGTTGAACATCATTGTCCGGTGCCCCGAAAGGTCACCAGTTGGATTCCGTCAGGGCACATGCCTGGATTTTGGGATTGATCCCCAGTAGGGGGCATGCAGTAGGCAGCTGATCAATGTTTCTCTCTCACATCAGTGTTTCACTTTCTCTCTCTCTTCCCCTTTCCCTCCCTCCCTCCCTAAAATCAATTTTTAAAAAACCCATAAAACAAACCTACTGAGAAAGTTCATGGGCAAGAAGGAACTTTCCCCTTGTACAGAAAGCAGAAGGCGTCAGGGAAGGAGCCCTGAAGGCAGGTACTGGCCTGGGTTTGAGTCTCTGTTCTGCTCACTTGCTGTTTGAACTTGGACAAGTCTCTGCCCCTCTCAGGGCCACAGTTGTGCCATCAGTCCATGAAGGGATTGGTGCTCTCTGTGAGAGCATATCTGCCAGGGAAAGGGATTAATTCTTGCCTTGGGAAGAAGTTTGGGGCTGGGAGAGTATCTCCAGCCCCCCTCAAACTCCTGCCTGTCTCCTACAGAAGGATCTTAAGAGCTGGGTCCAGGGGAACCTCACTGTTTGTGGCCGCTCCCTCTTCCTCTTTGATGAGATGGACAAGCTGACCCCAGGCCTGATGGAGGTCCTGCAACCTTTCCTGGGCCCCTCCTGGGTTGTGTACGGGACCAACTATCGAAAAGCCATCTTCATCTTCATCAGGTGGGGTGCAGTGGGCATAGTGATGGGGACACACAGAGGTCTCAGCTATCCGGTCCTGGTCTGTGGTCCCACAGCAGAGTACCGTCCCCCTGGGCCCAATCAAGCTTCCCAAAGGCCCTCACCCTCTCTGCGGTGACACTGTCATTCAGGGGACTACTTCCCCTCCGACAGTCTCAAAGCCCATTCTGGGCACAGTCCTTTGGTCCTCATCGTTTCTTTGTGGAGGCCCTGGAGCTAGCTCAAGAGTTTTTCCTCTTTTGTGGCCAGGATAACACAGGCCCGGGAGAAGCAGAACTAGGGTTCTGGTACCACCGCTAAGAGTCCTCGCTCTGCTTCCTCAGGCGAATTACTTCACCTCTCTGAACTCCCATCCCGCTTTGAACCGCAGGGCCAAATGAGTGCCCCACTGTCCCCTCAGAGGCTGGGGGAGCGGAGGCAGTTAAGGGACTCAAAAGTGTTTTGTTAACTGTAAAGTGCAGGGCAGCTACAGGTGATTTCTGGGGTCATGGTGGTGGACACAGGCTCTGGAGAGGGGAAATGGTTCCTTTGGATCTGGCTCCTGCCGGCACTGAGCTGGGTCCCCGGACTCAGGTTGTGTTAGGCGGCACGTGGGAAGTAGGACCAAATCCTGCCCCTCACTGAGTCTGGGCACGGGTTCCCATGGTTTCAGCAACACTGGTGGCGAGCAGATCAACCAGGTGGCACTGGAGGCGTGGCGCAGCCGCCGGGCCCGCGAGGAGATCTCCCTGCAGGAGCTCGAGCCGGTCATCTCCCGGGCCGTGCTGGACAACCCACACCGTGAGTCTGGCTCAGGCACCCCACCCTGGCTGGCTTCAGCAGGCTGGGCTTCACACCCAGGTCCATCGGGCCAGGATCCGCTGCTCTGCCCACCGGCCCAGTGCTTCCCAGCCCGGGCTCTGTGCTCCCAGTGGTCACACAGCCGCCCTGAGCCCTGAGCCCTGAGCCCTGAGCCCAGAAGGCAGCGAGAAAAACGTACCCCCGCTGGCCTGTGGGGGGCGGGAGCCTGGCATCTGTGAAGCACAGCTTTCCCCGCCGTCCCTTCCTGCAGATGGCTTCTGGCGCTCGGGCATCATGGAAGAGCGTCTGCTGGATGCCCTGGTGCCCTTCCTACCGCTCCAGCGACATCACGTGCGGCACTGCGTGCTCAACGAGCTGGCCCAGCTGGGTGTGGAGCCGCGGGATGAGGTCACCCAGGCTGTGCTGGACAGCACCACCTTCTTCCCTGAGGACGAGCAGCTCTTCTCCTCCAACGGCTGCAAGACTGTGGCTTCCCGGATCGCCTTCTTCCTCTGACTCTCCAGGTGGCATCCTCGGCCGTGCAGGAAAGCCCCGGGGCCTCTCAGAGGGACCCTTTCCTGAGCCTCCTGGAGAGTGGAGCCCAGAGCACAAACTGAAGATGAGAAGTGTTGGCTAGGCCATGAGACAGGACAGGGGGGCCCTGGCCTCGGAACTGGTCTGAGGACATCTTGGCTGTTGCTTCCTCCCCAGGGGAAACCGCTGGTCACCTCCGAACCTCAGTGAGCCTTGACTTCGCCCCCCAGCTGAGCCTTCTTAACATGTGAACTGCAACTCAGGGACTGTGGCTCGCGGCTGCTCCCTCCGCCTCCGTCTTTCTCCTTGACCCCTTGCTGACCACCATATCCCAAACCCTCTGTCTCAGTATTGTAAGCCAGGCTGAGACTTCTCAGTCCCCACGAACGGAGGGACTCAAGCTGCCACTTGGGCCTGGTTTTTAGTTTTTAATTTTGTAAAAGAAGAAAACAAATACAATAAACTTAGCCACGGACCAGCGTCGTGTTGGCTGAGGTTTCTGAGCCCTGAGTGCCAGTGTAGTGGACCACCCCTCCCATAGGAGGCGGACCTCAGGGGACAGTGTAGCTGCCAGGGGAGGGGGCCTGGGCAGCCTGGGTTTGGCTGGAGGTCTGGCTCAGGTCCTGGGTGACATCGATATTGCTAAACTCTGGGCTTGTGCTCTGGCTCCAGCTCTGGGGAACCTCAGTGTTGCTGGGCCTCTGGCCCTGGCCCTGGGTGGCCTCAGTGTCGCCGGGGCTCCAACTTGGGTCATAGACAGTCATCGTCTTGCTGGAACTCCGGGTCAGTCCACAGCTGCGGCCTCGGGTGGCCTTGGCCTTGCTGGGTCCCCGGCTCCGGCGACGAGCAGCCTTGGTCTTTCTGAGCCTCTGCTTTGAGACCTGGGTGGTTTTGGTCTTGTCGGGCTTCTGCCTTGGGCCTCGGGTGGCCTTGGTATTGCTTGGCATCTGGCTCTGGCTCTCGCTCTGCATGGTCTCCGTCTTGCTGGACTTCTGGTTCTGGCCCCAGGAAACCTGAGTTTCTCTGGGCCTGTGGCTCAGGCTTAGGTCTTCCCTGTTGGTTCCCAAGTCTGAGGACAGAGTCTTCAGCAGTGAGGAATCAGAGAATGTCCCGGTGGTGGTCGAGTTGCTCCTGTACTGCCAGGTAATGGACGTCTCCGTCTCCGAGGTGGACAGGGTCCTGACTGGGAGGGGTGCAGCCATCAGCCCCCTTCCCTGGGCAGCTCCAGGGGAAGGAGGCTTCTAGGCCTCACCCTTGCCTACATCTCAGAGGCCTTGCATGGCTGGGGGAAGGCCTGCCGGAGCACGCCGGCCCAGCCCCCCTCCGCAGCCCGAGCCCTGAAGGTGGGCCAGGCTGTAAGACAAAGGGCGATACTGAGGGCCTGCTTGCCTAGGCCTGGCTTCCCTGCGCTGGCTGCCCCTTGCCCTCTGCGCTCCGGCCACAGCCAACAGCTGCAGCGCGCCCTGCTCCACCCTCCCACACGTGACTAAGCCCTGCTCCTCCTCCAGGTCCTGGAAGCCCTATCTGACCCCCAAAGGGGGCTCAAAACACCCCCAGCCCTCCAGTGTCCATCTGCACTGTGCTGGTTGTCTGTCTACCGGTGTGCGTCCTTCCCTTCAGGACCAAGAGCTCCCAGGGGCAGGGGCTGGGCCATTCACGCCTGTGACCAGCATGTGCCGGAGCTCAGCCCTGGGACTCGATGGTGAACTGCACTGAGTAGAAGGACAGGCTGGCCGCCGTGTTTCTGTCCCTGCCCTGGACTGCTCACACCTGCCTCGGGACTGAGGGCCGGTTCCTGGTGTTGGACTTTTGTCCCTTCCATGCTGGTACCTGGCAGAATTAGGGGCAAAGCCCCTTGGACATGCACAGGGTTTGTGGGTTTATTTCAGGGAGGGCAAGGGGGCCTGAGGGGGAGTGAGGTGGGAGCAGGCGGGACTGATGTGCCCACAGTGAAAGCCCCCCGGGCCGTGGGCATCACCTCCCGTGGGCTCAGCACGCCCCGCGAAGTTGGGATTAGGCTCCTGCCTTCGTCACAGCTAGGAGCAGCAGAGCCCACGTTCACACCGGCCAGGCAGTCTCTGAGCCCCGGCTCTGCCCACCCTGCGGCCTTGGCTCACTCGGGCCTGGAAGGAACACCGGGACTTACAGCCCAGGACGGAGCCTGAAGAGGTCTGCTCGAAGTAGCTGGCGGACAGGGACCTCACCTTGCTAAGAGCAGGCTCCGGCTTCTCCTAGGCAAGAGACAGGCTGGGCGGTCAGGCTGCAGGAAGCCCGACCAGCAGGCGCGGGGTTCAGTGACTCTTCCTTTGAGCTTAGAGTTTCTCAGGGGTCCCAGGTGAGGGCCGGGTGGGATATAGAAAGGCTAAGACTGGACAGGAAGGGGAGTGGCCAGCCTAGACAGCATGCTGCTGTGAGCAAGGCAGTGTTCAAGAGGCTGCATGGGCCTCAGTTTCCCCATCTGCAAATGTAAATTGAAAGTATGGGACAGGCTCCTGAAAACTACAGAGTGCTGTACCCTGGGGAGTGGCCAGTGAGGAATTGAGGAATGTCTCCATGCTTTACATGTCTTACCCCAGTTTATCCTCCCCGCACACCTGGGAGGACACTACTGCTAAGACCATTTTCTGGACCAGGGAACCTAGGCTCTGAGCACCTCAGCGGCCTGCCCAAGGCACTCAGCCCAGGAGAGAAGCTGTGGATGGAGGGGACGGGCAGAGGTGCGGAGCACTAATGGAGGCACAGGCGCTAGCTCCCAGCACCCAGCTCCCAGCACGCAGCACCCAGCTCCCAGCACCCAGCACCCAGCTCCCAGCACGCAGCTCCCAGCACGCAGCTCCCAGCACCCAGCACCCAGCACCCAGCTCCCAGCACGCAGCACCCAGCTCCCAGCACGCAGCACCCAGCTCCCAGCACTGAGGCACAGGTGTCAGCTCCGAGCACCCAGCACCCAGCACGCAGCACCCAGCTCCCAGCACCCAGCACTGAGGCACAGGTGTCAGCTCCGAGCACCCAGCACCCAGCATGCAGCACCCAGCTCCCAGCACCCAGCACTGAGGCACATGTGGCAGCTCCCAGCTCCCAGCACCCAGCTCCTAGTTCTCAGCACCAAGCACCCAGCTCCCAGCACCCAGCTCCCAGCACTGAGGCACAGGTGTCAGCTCCGAGCACGCAGCTCCCAGCACCCAGCTCCCAGCACGCAGCTCCCAGCACGCAGCTCCCAGCACGCAGCTCCCAGCACGCAGCTCCCAGCACCCAGCTCCGAGCACGCAGCACCCAGCTCCCAGCACGCAGCACCCAGCTCCCAGCACTGAGGCACAGGTGTCAGCTCCGAGCACCCAGCTCCCAGCACCCAGCACCCAGCTCCCAGCACACAGCACCCAGCTCCGAGCACCCAGCACTGAGGCACATGTGGCAACTCCCAGCACCCAGCTCCCAGCTCCTAGTTCCCAGCACCCAGCTCCCAGCACCCAGTTCCCAGCACTGAGGCACAGGTGTCAGCTCCGAGCACCCAGCTCCCAGCACCCAGCTCCCAGCACTGAGGCACATGTGTCAGCTCCCAGCTCCCAGCTCCCAGCACCCAGCTCCCAGCACTGAGGCACAGGTGCCAGCTCCCAGCTCCCAGCACTGAGGCACATGTGTCAGCTCCCAGCTCCCAGCACTGAGGCACAGGTGTCAGCTCCCAGCACCCAGCTCCCAGCACGGAGGCACATGTGTCAGCTCCCAGCTCCCAGCTCCCAGCACCCAGCTCTCAGCACTGAGGCACAGGTGTCAGCTCCCAGCTTACAGCTCCCAGCTCCCAGCACCCAGCTCCCAGCACTGAGGCACATGTGTCAGCTCCCAGCTCCCAGCTCCCAGCACCCAGCTCCCAGCACTGAGGCACAGGTGTCAGCTCCCAGCTCCCAGCTCCCAGCACCCAGCTCCCAGCACTGAGGCACAGGTGTCAGCTCCCAGCTCCCAGCTCCCAGCACTGAGGCACAGGTGTCAGCTCCCAGCTCCCAGCTCCCAGCACCCAGCTCCCAGCACTGAGGTACAGGTGCCAGCTCCCAGCTCCAGCACGAGCACCCAGTGTCAGCTCCCAGCTCCCAGCACGAGGCACGGTGTCCAGCTCCCAGCACCCAGCTCCCAGCACTGAGGCACAGGTGTCGTCAGCTCCCAGCTCCCAGCACGAGGCACAGATGTCAGCTCCCAGCACGCAGCTCCCAGCACTGAGGCACCTGTGTCAGCTCCCAGCTCCCAGCACTATCCAGTACCCAGCTCCTAGCACCCAGCACCCAGCTCCGAGCACGCAGGCACCCAGCTCCAGCACGCAGCACCCAGCTTCCAGCACTGAGGCACAGGTGTCAGCTCCGAGCACCCAGCACCCAGCACGCAGCACCCAGCTCCCAGCACCCAGCACTGAGGCACATGTGGCAACTCCCAGCTCCCAGCACCCAGCTCCCAGCACTGAGGCACAGGTGTCAGCTCCCAGCACCCAGCTCCCAGCACTGAGGCACATGTGTCAGCTCCCAGCTCCCAGCACCCAGCTCCCAGCACTGAGGCACATGTGTCAGCTCCCAGCTCCCAGCACTGAGGCACAGGTGTCAGCTCCCAGCACCCAGCTCCCAGCACTGAGGCACATGTGTCAGCTCCCAGCACCCAGCTCCCAGCACTGAGGCACAGGTGTCAGCTCCCAGCTCCCAGCTCCCAGCACCCAGCTCCCAGCACTGAGGCACAGGTGCCAGCTCCCAGCTCCCTGAAGGAGGGAGCCCCTGGAGACTTCTGGGGCACACAGACCAAAGTTTTTTCTTTTTGTACTCTATGTGACTAAGAAGAATGGTGAGCCAGCCTCTCTCGTCTATGGCCAGGGATGCTGGTAGCCCATTTACTTCAACTGCATAGTTTCCTTGGAACACTAATTTGCATGCTGTCCCACAGCAGTAGGTGGGTAAATAAGTTGGGGCTGGCATGGAATTCTCCATGGCAGTGAGAACGAGCAGCCAGCCTGGGTGCACCTCACACATGCCGTTTAGTGAAGGGAGCAGAGACCAGGACACCCAGGCGCGCCCCTCTTCCGTGTCAGCCGTCAGGACGGCCTGTGGGGTGGGCTGGGCTGAGGCGGGGCAAGAAGGAGCTGCTGGGGAGCTGGGAGTGTTTTTCCTTGATCTGGGTAATGATGTCATGGGTGTATTCAGTTTGTAAAAATTCATCGAACAGTTCATTTATGATGTGTGTACTTTCCTATGTTATACTCAATAAAAGTTTTTAGAATAAATTTGAGGATTAAGGAGACCCTTGCACGAGTGGCCAGCGCACCCAGCAGCGTTCATGAGGGTGAGTGTGGGCGAGGTTTGAGAAGGCCTTGGTGAGGGGCCCTTGTCCTCACGTGCACTCCCTCAGGGGTACCACTTACTGGGACCATCATCTCAAGCAAGAGGTCCCCAGCCCAAATCAGACAGCCAAGTGGTGGCAGAGCCAGGCCTGGGAGCCAGACTCTCCCCACCTACACCCCTCAGCCCTGGCTTGGAGTGCCCTCCACCCGGACCTCCAGGGCCCCAGGCCTGGCACGTGGCCCACTCACCTCTTCCTTGGCACCCGTGGCCTCCTGTGGGGGTTTTGGCTCTGCCTCCAGGGTCTGGGGAGTGGAGTCTGGCTTCTCGGAGGTCTCACACAAAGGCGGTTCCTCCTCCCATGAGAGCTGCAGGCCCTGGGCCTTCTGGCGCTCCAGTTCCTGCTTCCAGAGCTGCCTGCCAGCCACGGCCCCAGAGCACTAGGTAAGTCACCGCGAGCCACCCTGCATCCCCAGGACTGGAGAGAGGCCTGAGGAGGCAGCCAGGGCCAGAGGGGCCTTGAGCCCACCCATTCCCACTCCTGGTCTGTGGCCCCTGCGCAAGGAGCTTACCCTATGATGCCTTGAGACATGCTCTTCTGCAGCTTGCTTTTCATCACCTGACTCAGCTGCAGCCTGGCCAGGTGGGCCACCTGGCTGCCAAGCACCTCCTCCACTGACATGTCCGGGAAGAGGTTGGTCATCAGCGGGAGCAGCTGCCAGGAAAAGGGGCGACAGAGCCAGGTGTGGTCAGGGCAGGGGCGGTGGTGTGGTGCTGCCCTGCCCTTGCAGAGACCTTCGCAGGGCTGGAGAGGGAAGAGTTGACAAACTGTTTTCAAAGGGCTGAACCCTTTTGCCCCAGAACTGTGAGGAGACCACGAGAAAGGAATTGTTCAGAGAGGAAACACTGATGGGGTGAGTCTAGCCAAGGGTTCTGGAGTCAAACAGATCAGGGTCTAATGTCTAAGCTGTGTGACCTGGGGCAAGGAAACTGGCTTCTCTGAGCCCTACCCTCTTCGTCTGTAAATTGGAGGGTGATAACATAGCCTGTCTCGTAGGATGCGGAAGAGGATTAGACAGAGTGATGTGAGTGGACGTGGTTAGCACAGTGCCTGGAACACAGTAAATGCTCTGGCATTAGCAGCTCTTACTAGTCGCCACAAAACCAAGTTTCTTTTAAGAACAGGGAGTATCTTTAGGTGGCCAGGGGTATGGATTCTGCAGTCCACCCTCCTGGCCTCCAGCAGGAACTCACCTTCGGTTGCTTAGGGTCAAGGAGCAGGGCAGTTGCAATGTCCTGGCGAGCCCCAAAAATGTTCTGCATGAGCTGCCGGCTCTTGGCACGATGCACGTAGCACTGCGCCCTCTCGGGAGTGTGCTGGATGGCCATCGAGAAGTGGCTCTCCGCCTTACTGAACTGCCTGCAAGATAGTGGGCCCCCGGCGCAGTGAGCTAGGTCCCCTGGGGAGAAAGAGCAGCTTCTGGGCCCCCTGGGGAGTCTGGGTAAAACCAGGCTGGTCTCTGCTCCGGCAGCCCCTGTGCCCTCCTCCTACCAGCTCTGCTCTTTGATGGGCTCAACACTCAAACACTAGTATAAAACCCCAACATAAGTGGACATTTTTTAAATCTTGGATTATGGAAGGCCTTTCCTAGAATGTCATGCACCCAGAAGCTAAAAATAAAAAAATGTTTTTTTTTTGTTTTTTTTTTATCATCCTCACCTGAGGACATTTTTCCATTTTTTGTTCAGATAGAGCGGGAGGGAAAGAGAGGAAGAGAGAGAGAGAGAAACATCGATGCGAAAGGGACACATCGAGTGGCTGCCACCCGCACAACCAACCAGGTCCAGGGACAAACTGCAACCGAGGTATGTGCCCTTAGCGAGAACCGAACCCGGGTCCCTCCGGACCGCAGGCCGATGCTCTAACCGCTGAGCCAAACCGGCCAGGGCAAAAAATAAAAAAATGTTTTTGACTGTGATTAAATCCTAAGTTACTGAGTAGCAAAAACACCATAAGAGAGTCCTGGCTGAGTAGCTCAGTCGATTAGAGCATTGTCTCCCTGTGCCAAGGTGGGTTCCATCCCTGGTCAGGGCACATGCAAGAATCAACCAATGAATGCATCAATAAGTGGAACAGCCCTGGCCGGTTTGGCTCAGTGGTTGGAGCATTGGCCTGTGGACCAGAGAGTCCCGGATTCAGTTCCCACTAGGGGCACGTACAAAAAAAGAAAAAGAAAAAAAAAAGAAGAAGAAGAAAATAAGTGGAACAACAAAAATTGATATTTCTCTCTCTTCCAAATCAAAAAATTACACACACACCACAAAGGAAAGCAATAAATAGGAGAGGTTTTGCTACATAAGGGCAGGTGATAAGTTAAGTTTCCTAACCTACAAAGAACTCTCTCTTTTTTTTTTATCCTCACCTGAGGACATTTTTCCATTTTTTGTTCAGACAGAATGGGAGGGAGAGAGAGGAAGAGAGAGAGAGAGAAACACTGACATGAAAGGGACACATTGAGTGGCTGCCACCGGCACGACCAACCAGGGCCAGGGACAAACTGCAACCGAGGTACGCGCCCTTAGCAGGAACCAAACCTGGTTCTCTCTGGACCACAGGCCGACACTCTAACCACTGAGCCAAACCAGCCAGGGCAGAACTCTCTATTTTAATGTGTGTTTTTAATTGAGTTATTGGTACAAAGAACTCTTATAACAAAAAATATTTTTAATGAGCAATTTAAAGCAAAATGGGCAAAAGATTTGGACAAGCCATAATGGCCAATAAACCCATAAAAGATGCTGTACTGCACTAGCAACTTAAACATGCAAAGTCAAGTGCAAAAGAGCTTTTTTTATGGGCTAGAAATCAAGACTCTTTCCCTGGGAGAAGTTTATATTGGTTCACTGTTTTTGGAGAATATTTGGATATTATTTAAAATGATAAATTTTCACTCTTTAACCAGACAATTTAGCTTCTGGCGATCTAACTCTAGTGGTACCGGTATAAGCGCATGAAAATATATGTCTGGTGCTTATTACTGCATTATTTATAGTCAAATAACTGAAAGCAGCCTAAATTCTTACCAACAGTAAAATGGATAAGTAAATAAAAGACATTCCTCTATGGTCCCTCTATAGAATGAAATACTATGCAAGCAGTAAAAAGAGAATGAGATACAGTCGTTCCTTGCCACTTCGTGCTTCGACTTTCGTGCAGCTTCACTCCATCGCAGTTTTTTCAAATATAGCGAAGTGGCGAGGGATGACTGTATAGTAAATAAAGAACCCTACTTCGCAGAAATTCATTTATTGCGGTAGAGTCTGGAACTGATTGACCGTGATAAACGAGGGCCAACTGTAGTCCCATATGTAACACCATGGGAAGTTTAAAAAAGCATAATTTAGCATGATCTTACTTACTTCTTTTTAAAAATTATGTTTTGCCTGGCTGGTGTGGCTCAGTGGTTGAGTGTTGACCCATGCACCAAAAGGTCACTAGTTCAATTCCTGGTCAGGGCACATGCCCAGGTTGTGGGTCCAATCCCCAGTGGGGGACATGCAGGAGGTGGCCAACTGATGTTCTCTCTCATTGATGTTTCTGTCTCTCTCTCCCTCTCCCTTCCTTCCTTCCTCTCTAAAATCAATAAAAAGAAAAAAATTTTAATAATAAAATAAATAAAGAAAAAATTTCAAAAAATATTTTTTCATATTTATTTATTTTTAATTAATTTATTTTTGTTACAGATGTTTCTCCTCCCCCCTGATTCCCCCTCCGCCCTGGTAGTCCTGTCCCCAGCTTTGTTGTCCATGTCCATTGTTAATGCATATATGCACATAAGTTCTGTGGTTTATCTCTCCCCCACCACCCCTTGTTCTGGGGATTGTCAGTCTGTACCCCACTTCCACGTCTCTGGGACTACCCCATTCCTCAGACTGTTATGTTCATTATATTCCACAAATAAGTGAGATCATATAATACTTGTCTTTCTCTGTTTTGCTTGTTTTGCTTAGGATAATACTTTCCAGGTCCCTTCATGTCGTCTCAAAGGATAAGAGATCTTTCTTACAGCTGCATAGTACTCCACTGTGTATATGTACCACAGCTTTTTTATCCATTCGTCTGCTAATGGACATTTGGGCTATTTCCAGATCTTAGCTATTGTAAATAGTGTTGCTATGAACGTGGGGATACAAATATATATATATATATATATATATATATATATATATATATATTGATTTTCAGAGAGAGAAGAAGGGAGAGGGAGAGAGGTAGAAACATCGGTGAGAGAGAAACATCCATGGCTGCCTCCCACAGCCCCCCTATGGGGGTTTGAGCCAGCAACCCAGGCATGTGCCCTGACCAGAATGGAACTGGCAACCTCTTAGTACATGGGATGATGCCCAGCCACTGAGCCACACCGTCTGGGCAAGCATGATCTTACTTTTGTAAAATGATGATAATTGTTAATACATGTATAGGAAGCAATATGGAGGAATCTTTACCAAATTTATGGGGGCGGGGTGGTGTTGGGAGGTAGCTATTAGAAGGAACTTTGATGTTCTGAGTTATAAATTACTGAATACTTATGTTTTCTATAAAAAGCACAGTTAACCATAATTGAAAAAAAGTGAATTTTTAGCAAAAACTTGGAAAATAAAATCTATATGTAGGAGACATAACTTGAGACAGCGGAATCATCTTGGTCTAAGGATCCCAGCAGGTGCCCCGGCCCCGGCCCCGCCCCCAGCACCTGGCCCCGCCCCGGCCCCGCCCCAGCCCAAGCGCACTTGCTGCGGTGCTCGCGGTAACCCATCCTCTCCTGCAGCAGGCCCATGCGCAGGTTGGCGCCCTCGTCGTGCGGACTCAGCGCCAGCGCCTCCAGGTAGTCCGCCTCGGCAAAGGTCAGGTGGCCCAGCTGGAAGAAGCAATCTGGGGCCCGGGCCGGAGGCGGGGGCTGAGTGGGCCCCCAACCCCAGCGTCCAGGAGCCTCGCTCAGCCTTCTCCACCCCCCAGAGGGCAGAGCCTGAAACGAGGGGCTGGTACACCAGTGGGCGGTCGCGGGAGCCCGCAGAGGCGTCCCGAGCCTCTGCGCACCTTTTCGAGCCTCTGCGCACCTTTTCGCAGCTGCCTGATTCCTGAGCGGAGCTCAGACAGACTGCAGCCAGTTTCTCCAAGGCAACGTCTGCCGGAGTCTGTGCACGGGACACTGGGCTCCCTACATCCTCTTTCCCTCCTCGCTCCTCCCTCCGTCCGGGGCGCTCACCGCCGCGGTTGATGTAGAGGCCTTTCTCCTGCTGCTCGTCCTTGAGGGCCTTGTTGAGCAGCAGCACGCTCTCCTGGTAGGCGCCATGCGTGTAGCAGTGCACAGCGAAGTCGTTGTAGGTCAGCAGGAGCTGGCGCTGCGCCTGCCGCATCATGTCCTCCTGGTGCTCCGTCATCATGTCCAGCGCCTTCAGGAAGTCCTCCACAGCGGCATCAAACTCCCGGAGCCGTCGGTACATGGTGCCCCTATGGGAAGGGACATGAGGGCCAAAGCACCACCATTGACTGGGGGTCGCTGGGCAAGCTGCTGCCCTTTCCGGGCCTTTTGACCCGTGGGGGTGGGAGTCGAGGCTCCCTCAACCCTCAATAGGTTTGGCCTGTGGGGTCTGGATTGCCACTCAGATAACCTGCTAGTCACTAGTAATTTTATTTTTCTTAAAAATAGCTTCCCTCTTTCTTTTTGGGAGCCAGCTACATGCCAACCTCTCCACACGGACTGATGTTTCACCCCCGCTGTTCATATGGGAAAATACAGGCTCAAGGAAGTTATATGGTCCTAAATCATGTGGTAAGCCCTTGTCCAGGTCAGATTCACACCCAAGCCTTGTCCACTGAGCCGGGCTGAACCTCCCAGCGTGAACTGCTCAGCAGGCCTGGGAGTCCAGGATCCTTCTGTTAACTGAGGCTGCCGTTCCCTGCAGAGACACCTCCCATGATGCCTTGATCCCAGTGGGGAGTAGGGAAAGACTAGTAGAGGTTAGATGGAGGACACCAAGGCCTACCTATGTAGGCCCTCCTGAGACCACACAGCTGGACCCAAGACTGGCACCTCCCCACCCAGTACCTGAAGAGGAAGAGTCTGGGGTCTAGAGGGTTGTTCTCGATGGCACAGTTGACACACTGCAGTGCATGCAGCAGCTTTCCCTGCACGGCTAGGATCCTGGCATCTTGATATGACTTTTGGGCCTGGCTGACCATGATCTTGAGCAGCGACCTGGCCTGTGGGTGCTTGGGATCCAACAGCAAGGCACTGTGCAGGTCTTGATAGCAGAGGTTGGGCTGCAGGGGCCAAGGATGGCATCAGGGTCGCAGGCCAAACTGAGCCCTACCCTGTCCAGTGAGGGGAGGCAGGCCTTTCTCTGGGCAGGCTGGCACCATGCCACCCATCCTCAGTGCCTCCACTTTGTTGTTCTGTCTGTTCTGCCTCTTGAAGGAGGCAGAGAACATTGTGAGAAAATCCCATCCCAGGCCCCATCCCTGCTGACCCCTTTCCAGATGTGACCTCAGATGAGCCGGGTCAGCCTGGTGGTTCTGCTACGGATTCGGAGGAGGACTGCCTCCTTGGAGGACTTCTGTGAGGCTCACTGGAAGTGGGGAGGGTGTGTCCTCCCGATCGTGACTGTCATGTCTTTCCTATCCTTTCTTCCCTGACTCCCTTAATCTTTAAGCCCAAGATAACTCTGACCAAGAACAGATTCAGGACTGGACATGAGCAGAAAACATCCCCAGGCAAAACCTTCCACTGGATGAGCAGGTCTGTCAGTCAACAAACAGTTTAGCATGCCCTGGCCGGTTTGGCTCAGTGGTTAGAGCGTCGGCCTGAGGTCTGGAGAGACCCTGGTTCGGTTCCCGCTAAGGGCACGTACCTTGGTTGCAGTTTGTCCCCAGCCCTGGTTGGGTCGTGTGGGTGGCGGCCACTCGATGTGGCGCTTTCACGTCGATGTCTCTCTCTCTCTCTCTCTCCCTCTCACTCTATCTGAACAAAATATCAAAAAATGTCCTCGGGTGAGGATAAAAACAAACAAACAAACAAACAAACAGTTTAGCAAATACCCCATATCCTATAGGGTAATTGGTTGAAGGGGGAGCAGGGCAGAGTGTGTACACCAAGAAGTTGAGAGGAAAGACAGGAAAGGCTAGGGGTAGGGTTTGGAAGTAGGCAGACTTGGGTTCAAAGGCAGCACCACTGAGAGCTGACTGTGTGACCCTGAGCAAGTCACCCAGACCCTCTGGACTTGTATCCTCATCTGTGAAAAGAGGACAAGGGGTTGTACCTACTGAAACAGTTATTGTGAGCCTTTAAGATAAACATGAGTAGGCCCTGGCTGGGTAGCTCAGTTGATTAGAGTGTAGTCCCAATATGCCAAGGTTGCAGGTTCGATCCCCAGTCGGGGCACACGCAAGAAACAACCAATGAATGCATAAATAAGTAGAACAACAAATCAATGTTTCTCTCTCTCCCTCTCTCAAATTAAAAAAAAAGAAAGACATGAGTAAAGTGCTTAGCATGTACATTGCAAGAACTGAAGTGGCGGGAGTGGCTAAAATCCCAAGTCAACCATAATTATCAATAATTACTAGTTTCTTACCTTTGAAGGAGACTCTCCCACTGACTCACTGTTGAACACAGAAGCCAAGCACCCAGTATAGGGAGGCTCATGTTTCTAACCACCTCCAGGATGCCCTACCTGGTGAACTGAGATGAATCCCCACTTGATCCCCACCCCCCCACCCCACCCCCAGTTCCTTCCCCTCCTGAGTGTCCCAGATCCCAGGCACTGGGCCAAGCTGGAACATCAGCCATTGTTCTGGATACTTCCTTCCCTCTTGCACTCTCGCAGTCAGTCTCTGGTCCTGACTTCCATCCTCCCTGTGGCTCCCTCCTCTTCTGCCGGATGGCACATAGCCTCCTCTCCAGGCTCCTGGCCTCCAGACTTACCCCTCTAACCCACACTTCCTCTGGCAGCCAGAGGATCTTTCTAAAGTGCACTGCCCCAGGGAACACCCTTTTGAGGTTCCTACTGTCCCCAAGAAGAAGTCAGAGTGGACCTGAGTTCAAGAGGCCCTGCTCAATGCCCTCACATACCTAAAGCCCCACCCCCCCTTGTGATCCCAAGTCTCCCTTGCCCCTAAGCTGTTCCCTGTACTGTCTGTCCCCATGCCCAGCCTAGGGAGTGCACCAGCTGAGGGTGCTTAGTAAATGTTTTCTGAGACAAATAGAAAAGGAAGGAAGAAATGAGGAAGGGCCACTTTATCTACTGGATCTCTGATAGCATTCTCAGGAACTCATTCTTCACCTAAGTATCCACTTAGGGGCGTCTCCCCTGGGCTATGAGCTCTGTGATGGCAGTGATGGCACAGGTCTCTTACCTTGTGGTTTCCAGGGGCCAGTGCAAGCCTGGCACAGAGCCAGGGCTGAGTGACAATGGAACAATACCTGACTGGGCAGCTGGATGGTCAGTGCCAGGTGGGGTCTCTGCCCAGAGAGGACAGTGCCCCCACTGCACTGTGGAGATGTGGCTTGTGGGCTGGCTGATGGCCTAGCAGCCTCCTATAATGTTGGGATGTGCTGGGGGTAGGGCCACCCCCTGCCCACAGTCCCTGTTCTACCTTCTGGAGGAAGTTATAGAGCCTGGCCCGGAAGATGTGGATATCGGCATTGGTCGTGCCATGCTTCACCTCCTTGGTGACAAGTAGGAGGCAGTCGTGATGTCTTTGGAGGGCCAGGAGACAGGCCATGCTGAGGACAAAGGGCAAAGGTGCAGTCTGCTGGAGCAGAGCTGTGCAAACTTTCAGTTCATGGCACACAAGCTAATCACTACAGCTCTGCGGCACACCAAGAAATCTTTTCTGCCAATCTGACACGAATAAAAACAGGTATAATTTTGATTCATTCACACTGGAAGGCTATTGCGTTGGCTGTTATCATTTTTTTATTTGACAGTCTAAGGGAAAAGAGGTCAGTGCTCCTGACTAGTCAGGTATTGCATGGTTTAGAACTTCCTATGGCATACCAGTTGAAAATTGCCATGCTAGAGGGATGGGAAGGGGCTGCTGGGGAACCAGGGCCAGTAAGGACACAAATAGGATACTCACCATCGGTAACGGAAGCAGGGTTTATCGGGCTGGAGCTCAAACGCTTGCGAGAAGACATTCAGGGCATCCAGATAGGCATGCTGCTCAAACAGGCACTGGCCCTGGGGACGCAAGGCGCAGTCACTTTTGCTTGCATCCCCGGCCCAGCAGCACTCGTGAGATGGGGTAGGCAACATTGGGGTGAAAGGGGAGAGAGACGAGACAGAGTCAGAGCTCTCTAGGTCTGGAGACACTTTAGGAGTCAGAGACACAGAGATGGAGAGAGATACAGAGCTAGGGAGAGACAGCAAGAGACAGTGAGAAATACCCAGATGGCAGAGACAGACAGCAATACAGAGACACAGGAACAGAGAGAAATAAAGGAAATCTGGGAGGTAGACAAGAACAGCAGAGTCAACAGTTACAGGCTCCAGCCTAGACCAGGGCTCGTGTGCCAAGCCCTGCATTAAGAACCTGAACTTGCCATGGCCGGTTTGGCTCAGCGGTTAGAGCGTTGGCCTGTGGTCTGGTGAGACCCGGGTTCGGTTCCCGTTAAGGACACGTACCTCAGTTGCAGTTTGTCCCCGGCCCTGGTTGGGACGTGTGGGTGGCGACCACTCGATGTGTCCCTGTCACATCGATGTTTCTCTCTCTCTCTCTCCCTCCCACTCTACCTGAACAAAATATCAAAAATGTCCTCGGGTGAGCATTAAAAAAAAAAAAAGAACCTGAACTTGCTATCTCACTGGTATTAGCACCTCCCTTTTAGATGAGAGGTGAAGTAACTTCCCCAAGGTCACACAGGAAGTGTCAGTACTGGACTCGGGACACCAACAGACAGATTAAGGATTTGGTTTGGGTACCCCAAATGTTTCAAGAATTGAGTAATTACTGACATTAAAAACAAAGATATCAAAGTTGTCAAAAAGGAAAAAAAATCAGGATTTTGTTGGTATTTATGATTTAATATGCATATATTTTTAATTGCAAATGGGGCTGGTATTACCTTTTTAATGCTTAGAGCCTCTAGATTCTAGGTCTGTACTGTCCAATATAATAGCCATCCACTTCATGTGGCTATATACATTATGTTAAAATGAAATGCAATTTAAAAATTAGTTCCTGCCCTGGCTGGTTTGGCTCAGCGGTTAGAGCATCAGCCCGTGGACCAAAGAGTCACAAGTTCGATTACAGTCATGGGCACCTACCTCGGTTGTGGTTCAATCCCCGGCCCTGGTTGGGATCGTGTGGGAGGCAATCAATCGATATGTCTGTCTCTCTCTCTCTCTGTCCTGTCTCTGTCTCTCTCCTTCTCTCCCTCCCTCCCACTCTATCTGAAGATAAATGGAGAAATATCCTTGGGTGAGAATGTCTAAAAAATAATAATAAATAAAAATTAGTTCCTCAGTCATACTTGCCACATTTCAAGGGCTCAACAGTCCATGTGGCTAATGGCTGCCAGACTGGACAGTGCTGAGTAGATCATTGTCATTATTGCAGAAAGTTCTATTAGATAATGTTACAAAACTTTAGCCAGCTCTGGTGGTAAGCCTACTTGGGAGGGGGGAGAGGTCATAAGAGGGGCAGCAGGTGGGGACACAGACACAGGGACAAGGAAGTCTCCAGGGAGTCAGAACTAGTCCCAGGAGCAAGGAAAGCCCCCATAGCTGGAGGGAGATGAAGCGGGCCTGGGCGTGAGGCGGCGCCTGTGTGTCCCTGGGGCAGCCCCAGGCACCTGCAGGTAAAGCACCAAGGTGAGCCGCTTCAGGAACGTGGTGTTCTCTGGCTGGAAGGCGTAGGCCCTTCGCAGGTTCTGGATGGCCGAGGAGAAGTCACAGAGCTGGATGTAGGCTTCGGCTCTTAAGGCATAGAAGTCTACCTGAGGGAGAGGAGACCCAGGCTGCTGTCCCCTCCCCACAGTCCACCCTGAGGACTGATGCTCAGTTACCAGGGGGACTTGGTGGTCCTGAAGGCAGGGACCTAGCAGGCACAACAGAGAGGGAAGTGTGTGCCAGAGACTGTGTGTGCCCAACCAAACCCCCTTACCAGCTGGGAGTCCAGGTGGAGGGCACGGGAGAAGAACAGCACAGCCAACTCCCAGTCTTCTTGCTCCAAGCACTCATATCCTCGGTAGTAGCTGTGGGGACAGGGGACAAAGGCAGAGGGACTGGCTCTGACTTTGACCAACCCAGGGCATACAGCTGGGGCTTGTGAGTGAGTGGGTGGGAGGCACTTGGGTGGAGAGACAAGAGGGATAGACAGAGATTCTTGAAGCTCATCCAGGCCAGCAGCCTTTTGTCCACTGAGGCATTAGTGCCCTCTTACACAGTTGAGTTCACTGAAGCCCAGGGAGCTGAGAGCGACTGGCCCTAAGCTGCATAGCATGTCAGTGACTGTGCAGAATAAAAACCAGGGACCTTGGGACAAGATAGACACTCACTACTCCCTGACTTTGAGGGGAACTGTTAACCCAGTGACCGTTGGTCTTATTTCATCAAAGCTCCGGAACGCCTGGCTGGTCCCAAAGATGCGCTGTAGGATCTTCTTTGGGAGTGGGGTCCCCTGTGGCTTTGGGATGTGCTGTGAGGGACGCGGGCCAAGCTTTGGAGCATCCTAGAACCAATGGACAGCAAGTTGGAGCAGGCCTCAGAGATGACCCCCACCCCACTTATACACTCTTGTCAGGTATTTTACAGGAGGGAGGAGGGGTGGAAATGAGGTCTGGTTGGAGGCAAAATCTGGGGTCTGGTGGCATTTCCAGCCCCATTCCCCTTAGGAATATTTTAACCTCTCTCTAGTCCTGCCTCTCTCCCTCTCCTATGGTCAAGGTCAGCGGTCAAGATTCTCATGCTCACACTACCCTCTGTTCTCCTCTTGGTCCCCCTCAGCGCTCACCTCCTGTTACTGACACTCAAAACTAATGTCTTCAGGTCAAGCCCTGCCCCAAGCTTCAGGCTCCAGGGGCCTGCAGATTCTTGCATAATCTTTGTGACCCTCATACCCAGCATCAGCTACTCCTCCGACCTCCCCACTGGCCACTCCTCCCAAGTCCTCTGTTCCTGAATTGCACAACCGCTCCTGCCTCTCCGGTACTTAATTAAAACCTTTCGTGCGAATTCAGCCTGGTCTCTTCCCTCCCGCCCCTCTGCCTTCGTGTTAGCCTTCTCCCGCACCTCGCTGGAGTCTGTCATGAGGTCCCTTCCAGGAAGACCGGTGGGACTGAGTTGGCTCCGGCGCCGCCCGCACCCCGGACGTTGCTAGGCATCATCTCCACGCCGCCCAAGGCCCCGCCCCTCTGACCACGCCTCCGATTCCAAGGGCCGTTTGAGCCAGAAAAGGGGTAGCAAACTTTCATTAGCTGGGGAGGCTGAAGTTACAACGTGGGAAGGACTCGCCGGGTTTCCCCAGCGAGGCAGGACCACTTTGGGGACCAAAACAAGGCTCTCTCCTCCCAAGCAAAGGCTCTGCGACTCTTACAACAAACAGCCCCGGGCGCGGTGACGCTGCTCCACGGAATGCGCGGGGGCGCGCAGACTCTGCCACCACCCGGCTACTTCCGCCCCTCAGAAGCATGGGGCCCCGTGGCCCGCCCTTGATTGGACGCTGGCGGCAGATGTCGACCACGATTGGCCGAGGGGCCCCTGACGTCAGGGGCGGGGCGGGGCGGGGCCGTGAATGGGAGCAGCATGCCGCCGCCAGGCCTCTGTCGCGCGCGGCTGTGGCTGAGTCGGGCCATGAGCCGGTGCGTTTCGGGACCCCGGCCCCCAGGGAAGCGGTGGCTGGTGAGTGGAGTGAGGGGGGCGACGTAGGGCCTCCAGGGGCCTTACTCCAGTTTTGCCACTGTCTTCTGGGCCCCCCAAATGCCTTGTCTCCGTTTTTTTAAAATCTGGAAGAGGGTCCGATATTCCGGCGGGCTCCAGACTTTCAGAGCGCCGCTCCCGCCCTGTGGCGCCCTGCCTGCCCAGCCTGCGGGGCGCCCGTCTCCACGGCCTCTGGAGGCTCCAGGATTTCTGCGTCCCCTCCTCGCCCCTTCCCCACTCCGTTCCCGCTCTCCGTTACCCTTCTACTTTGGGTTGGTTTCAGGAGGCATTGAGAGAGTTGCCGGGCCTCAGTTTCCCTGGTGCCGCCCGCAGGTGGCCGGCCTGGGGAACCCTGGCCTGCCCGGCACGCGGCACAGCGTGGGCATGGCGGTGCTGGGGCACCTGGCGCGGCGCCTGGGTGTGGCGGAGAGCTGGTCCCGCGACCGTCGCTGCGCCGCCGACCTCGCCCTGGCCTCACTCGGGGATGCCCAGCTTGTTCTGCTCCGGCCGCGGCGGCTCATGAATGTCAACGGACGCAGCGTGGCCCTGGCCGGTGAGTTGAGGGCACCAAGGGTTGGCCGGCCCGGAGGCCGTAGGTGCCAGAGGGGATTCTGGACTTGGCAACGGGTTCTTCTCCAGGTGCCTGTTGAGTCCAGTTGCCGTATGGCCTCCGGTATTGTGAGAGCCTCAGTTTCTTTCCATGTGAACTGGGGTTAATGGCTCCCCTTCTTATGGGAGCTGTGAGTTGGGAAAACGCAGATCAGCAGTAACCAGGGCGGCCGTTTCCCTGTTAAAGCGGAGCTGTTCGGGCTGACGGCGGAGGAGGTCTACCTGGTGCATGATGAGCTGGACAAGCCCCTGGGGAAACTGGCTCTGAAGCTGGGGGGAAGTGCCAGGTGAGGCTCTGAGCCAGTCTGGTTGGGTAGGGAAGTTGGCTTCCCAATTGGAGTGGGGTAGGGGTGCTCTGACCCCAACCTGGGCTGGGAGGGGGGAGGGTGTTGACTCAGGGAAGCACTGACTGCCTCCTGTATCCCTTGAAGGGGCCACAATGGAGTTCGTTCCTGCATTAGCTGCCTCAACTCCAGTGTGAGTCTGCCCCTCTGTCCTGCTCTGGATTGGGTGGTTGGGCATGGGGCCCCAGCACTCCTCACCAAAACTGCCTGGACCTCTCTGCTCCTCCACAGGCAATGCCACGGCTGCGGGTGGGCATCGGGCGCCCGACGCACCCTGATGCCGTCCAGGCACACGTGCTGGGCTGCTTCTCCCCCGCAGAGCAGGAGCTGCTGCCTCCTTTGCTGGAGCGTGCCACAGACCTGCTCCTGGACCACATCCGTGGGCGAAGCCAGGGGTCCTTGTCAGGCACCTGACACCAGTGGACGCGGCTGCCTGCCCAGCTGCCATGCCCACACACCCAGCCACGTCCACAGAGGTGCCACGCCAACCTGTGGTATTCACTTTTTATATAACTTCTCTGAGCTGCTCCAGGCCTTCTATGGATTAAAGGGGGGGCTGTGGCCGTATCGGTCCATTTTTGGGATGGGGGTTTGTCTTCTCTCTGTGTCTTACTTGGAAAGTGTCGAAACTTCAGGAAGACTTAACTTTTTGAACTTTTTTGGAGAACCAGAGGTATGGATCTGTAAGATTAAAGATGCCTGCTTGGAAGCTGAGGCCTCCTCAGGGGGTTCCTCCCCTCCCCCTGCCTGCGATGGAGGGGCCCAACGGGTCCACAGTGACCAGCAAGCCCCACCCCCAGGGCTGTGTGGGCATGCCTTAGCCCACTGAGGCCTTGCCACACCTTTCTTCAGTCCATTTCCCAGATGGGGAGGTGGATGCGAAGAGAGGTCCAGCCATATCCCCGAGGCCACACAGCTGCAGTGTGGCTGCACCCAGGGCAGGCTGTCATCTTGCTGTCATTGGGACCAGGCATTCTCACCTCAGAGCTGCTGTGTGCATGGAATATTCTCATACGGGTAGAAGTTGAGAGCAGCCTGAGGTCCTCGGGGTTGGGTGGGATGTGGGCCCGTCGAGGTACCAGGCCCAGGTCTCCCGGCTGGTAGGGTGTGATGCTGGACAGCTGTTGCAGCAGAGACCCAGGCTTGAATGGCTGGCTGCGGGACTGGCTGCGGGGAGGAGGCCAGTGTCATCACTTCCATTTCACAGATGAGGCTGAGGTTCAGGAAGCTTCGGGGAGCCCAAATTCTGCCCAAAGGTCACTGAGGACAGCCCTTGGACAAGTCCCATAGCTGCTTCTGAGGTCACACAAGGTCACTCACCTCTCCTTGGGGCCACGGGGCTGAGTCTCCCGGCTTGGAGTCATAAGCCTCTGGGGGCTCAGGACCATGGCTGAGGTGAGCATGACCAGCAGCTGCTGCAGCATCTCCTTGAGCTCCCCATGGAACACTACCTCAAAGTTGCTGTCCTTTTCCTCTGGTTGTATCTGCTGGTAGGGCTGGGACGGGTCATGGGGATCAGGTTCATGGTGGCCCCAATACCCACCCCTGGGAAACTCCAACCCCAGTGCGGGTTTTCAAAAAGGGTTCCCTGGCTGTGGTAAAATACCCATTTTCCAAACGGGAAGACTGAGGCCCAAGGCCTTCCAGGGCCTCAAAGGAGGACTCTACCCAGTTGCTTTAAGAGCTTGAAGGGACGCTCGGCTGGTGTGGCTCGGTGGTTGAGCATCGACCCATAAACCAACAGGTCACTGATTTGATTCTCAGGGCACATGCCCAGGTTGTGGGCCCAATCCCCAGTGGAGGGCATGCAGGAGGCGGCCAATCGATGTTCTCTCTCATCGCTGTTTCTATCTATCTTTCCCCCTCTCTTTAAAATCAATAAAGAAATTTTTTTTTTTTTTTTAAAGAGCTTGAAGGGAGCCTAGCTGGTGTGGCTCACTGGGTTGAGTGTTGTCCCATGGACTGAGGTCCTGGTTCGATTCCTGGTCAGGGCACATGCCTGGGTTGTAGGCTCGATCCCCAGTAGGGGGCGTGGAGGAGGCAGCTGACCAGTGTTTCTCACATTGATGTTTCTATCTCTGTCTACCTTCCTCTCTCTAAAAAAAGATCAATGAAAAAATATTAAAAAAAAAAAGATCTTGAAGAGATCTTTGAATTGCAGAATCAGAAAAAGACTTGCCAGGAGTCTCGGGAAAGTTGGGGCATCTGGCCCTGGCTTGGCCTTCAACGTGTGGCCGATATCTCCTAGAAGTTTGTCCTTGGCCCCCTCTCCCCACCCCTCACTTCCACCCACGACTAGTCACCTGCAGAATGTTCTGTAGGAAGGTGGTGGCCTGGGCCAGGGCCATTATCAGGCTTGCCCGAAACTTTTGCTCTTCGGCCAGCTTCTGCTGTAGCTGCTGCATCTCGGCCTGCTGCTGCTTCAGCTGTAGGTTCAGGTGGTCCCTCTGGCTCCTGGTCCCGGGACCAGAGGAGTCAGCCACCTCCCTGCTCCAGGGCGATGGGCTTGCCATTGCTCTTTAGCCCACAAGGACCCTCATCCAGCCTCAGGCTTCAGCCCGTTTGACAGGCCCCTTTGGAGAGGGGAGTCACTGGCCTGTGTCATGTGGCCATAGGAGCCAGGCTCTGGCCTGCTCCCACTGCTCCCCGCTGTGAGCCACACCTCAGTGTCTCCTTGCCCTTCTGCAGCCGTGAGATGGTCTTCTCCATCTGGCTCAGCAGGAGGTACAGCTGCTCCGCCTCCACTCTGCCCTGCTTCTGCTCCAGGCACTTCTCCGTCAGCATGAGGATGACCTGCGGGCGCGGGCAGGTGGCCATGCCTTGGACCCAGCCTGAGCCCTCAGCCAGCCCCACTCCCTCAGCTCTGGACTCGGCCAGGGCTCGCCCCATTGTACAAAGAGGTCACATCTCTGGACAGCAGCTGGGTGGAGCCCCCAGCTCTCCAGGAGTGGGTTCCACTTCAACAAACCAAGTAAAGAGAAACGAACTGGGGCCAGTACCCTGGAGTCCCCACAAGGAGGCCCTTCCCCTCACAGCTGCCTCCCTCAGGCCTTGGCTCCAGGCCGGGGGGGGGGGTGGGGGGGGGGTGGGGGTGGGGGGGGGTGTTCCTTGCCAGGCTGTGTTTGCCCTCAGGGCAGGGCCTCCAGGGTTTCTTCCTGCTGTAGGTGTCAGACACCCTGCGATGAGGGCCTGGCAGGCACACCTTGTGGTGGCCTCTGCTGTCCTTGGACATGGCCTTCTTGGTGGTCCTCAGCAGATCCAGCTGTTTGCACAGCTTGTCCTGGGCGCACTTGAGCTGGTCGTTCTCCCGCAGCAGCTGCATGCCATGCTGGGAGATCTTGGACAGCTGCAGGGTCACCGTGTTGTTCTCCAGGATGGCCCGCTTCGTTGTGTCCCACATCTGGCTGGTGGCCATCTTGCGGAACTCAGTGGCCACCAGGTTCACACGCTGAATGATCTCCTTCTTCACTCTAGTCAGGATGGGTGGGAGTAAAGGGGGTCCGCAGAGTGGCACAGACCTCAGGCACCCCCTTCCTATGTGGGGGTCCCCAGAGTGCCTCAGACCACCTCTCTGTCACCCCTCCAGGAGGGGTGGGCTGTGGGCAGGAGGCTTCTCACTGTAGACCCTTTGTACCTTTGGAATTGTGAACGAAATCAATATATTACTTATGAAATAAATATGACTTAGGTCACAAAACATGGCAAAAGGAAGTTCGGGGACTGATGCCACTGTGAGGACTGGGGAGTGCGAAGATTTTTCTCCCACCCTCCTTAAACCCGCCAGGATTCCGAGGAGCGCGGAGTGGGGGCCGACGGGCTAGTGCGTGTCCCCAGGTAGAAGCCCAGGCAAACAGGTCTGAGGGCGGGGCTGCGCCTGGCCCCGCAGATGAAGTCTCCCAGCACCCGGCCTGCCCACCTGTCCCGGTCTAGCACCGACTTCTTCTCCAGGTTGTACACGTAGTCCGTGTACTCTTTCTCCTGCTTCCGCAGCTGGTCTTCCAGCAACGTGAACTTCTCCGTGAGCTCCTCTTTCTGCAGCCGGAACTCCTCCAGGGCTGCCAGCTTCCCCCCTGTCCCAGCGCAGGAACAGGCCTGGTGAGGGGCCGCCTGGGGGGCGGGAGTGACGCCCCTGCCTCCCCACTTCCTCTTGCCTGCCCTCTGGTTCTGGATCCAGTAGTGCCAGACCCCTGCCCCTGCACCCAGTCCTGCTACCTTTAGCGCCTTACTCTGGAAAGCTCCGTTCCCCTCCACTCATCAGGACTCGTTCAGGTTCCACCTCCTCTGAGAAGCCTTCCTGGACACTCCCCTCCACTTCCCACTCATGAAAGCTACTCAACTTGCACACCTCTGGGCCAGGCACTCATGCTCTCATTAAGCCTCCAAACAGCCCTTGCCATCTTGGTGACCTTGGCCATGACACTTCACCTTGCCTACAAATGGGGGAGATGGTATTTCCTGCCTTGTAGGATTGCTGGGACCGTTATGGAAGATGATGTGTGGGAAGCAGCACATCGCTGTTATCAAGGTAGATGAATACCCCCATTTTCTAGGTGGGAAAACAGGGTCAGAGAGCAGTGCTTGCTCAAGGCCACAGAGATAGTGGGGAGCTAGGACTGGAGCCCCCGGCCCCCTCACCAATGATGATGTTCTCCGTGGTGAGCTGGTCCTTGGTCTCCTGGAACTCATGGCGCACCTGGGCTAGCTGGGCCTCGAAGGCATCCTTCTCCATCTCCTTGGCCAGCTGCAGGCTTTGGAGCTGCTCATTGAGCTCGGCGATCTCATCCACGCGCTGGTTGAGCGTGCGCTTCAGGAAGGCCACGATCTCCTTTTTGTTGTTGGCCAGCTGGTCAAACTCCTGGTGCAGCAGCTTCTCCTGTACGGCCAGCTCATCCCACTTCCGCTGGTACCTGAGGCCAGGGCAGGGCAGAGCTCCAGGGGTCTGGGCTAGCCAGGCCTCTGCACCTGGGCCACGCTCCGCAGGACCCGCCCCTACAGAGGGACACTCGAGGTTCCTCGTGGTCAGAATCCAGCCTCTTCTCCCCCGACCCACGCTCACGACCACAGCCAGTGTCTGCTCAGCGCTTTACATTCACATCATTAGAACGTAAGTTCCACGAGGGCAGGCCTTTGTCTCTTGTGTTCACAGCTGTGTCCCCAACACCTAGGATGATGCCTGGTACATAGCAGGTACTTGGTGTGTATTGAATTCTCACAATGACCCATAAGGAAGTGGGTACTATGATGATTATACCCATTTTACAGAAGAGGAAGCAGAGGTTCACAGGGGTGAAAAAACTCCTAGTTAGTAAGTGACAAAACCAGAACTTAAACTCAAGTCGATCTGACCTCAAAGTCGAGGCTCAACCCACAAAGCTTACTGCCACTCACCAGCTCCATGCCCTCCCTAACACTGCCCTGCAGTCCCAAGCCTTTGCCCCTGCTGTCTCCCTTACCTTCGGCCACTGAGTGTCACCTCCTCAGCGGAGCCTCATGGGCCCTGAGCCATATTTGTGACCCTCTCTTTGGTGCCTTTCAATAGGTTGGCCCTTGTCCCACTGGGCAGCTAAGACCTGCGTGTCTGTCTTCTCCACTTGGCAGACCCCTGACCTCCTTCAGCCTGACACAGGGCTTGGCAAACAGCAAACACCCAATAACTGTCTCCCAGATGCATTTTCTTTAAATGTATTAAACACGGTGTCTCAGTTTGAAGGAAGCTTGTGAATTTAAGAATATCACATATTGATCTTTTGGTTTCCAATGGAATAATTGGTAGAAGTTATTTGGAAAGATGTTTTTTTGTTTTTAATCCTCACCCAAGGATATTCTTCCATTGATTTTTTAGATAGAGTGGAAGGGAGGGAGGGAGGGAGAGAGAGAGAGAAAAAACCCCAACAACATCAATGTCAGAGAGACACACTGACTGGCTGCCTTCCGCGTGACCCCAACTGTGGCCGGTGATCGAACATACAATCCAAGTACATGCCCTTGACTGGGAATCGAACCCTCGACCTTTTGGTCTGTGGGCCGACGCTAACTGCTGAGCCAAACAGGCCAGGGCTGGAAAGATGTTTAACTTCATAATTTACCAACATCCTTTGAATGGCTACTCCATCCAGGGAGGATGCTGCAGGGTGTGGAGCTGAATGACTTGCTTTGTGGAGCCAGGAAGCAGCTGGCGGAGGGGAGTAGGGCCAGAGCTCCCTTCTGGCACCGCTTCTTCCTGAAGATGACTTCCCCTCCCTGAGCCTGGGTCCCTCCACCTATGCCATGAGGATGACGCCGAGACCCCTCATGGCTCTGTTTCAAGGACACAGTGAGCACCAGCTCAGATCCCACCTGGCGCACACGAAGGACTCAGCTTCAGCTGCACCTGAAATGTGGCCAAGAACCACTGCCTACTCATCACCAGTGGGGTTTGTCTTTTTTTTTAACCTCACCCGAGGATATTTTTCCATTTATCTTCAGATAGAGTGGGAGGGAGGGGGGGGGGAGAGAGAGAGAGAGAGAGAGAGAGAGATCCACTAGCTGCCTCCTGCACGACCCCGACCAGGGCCAGGGACGAACTGCAACCGAGGTATGTGCCCTTGACCGGAATCGAACCCGAGACTCAATGGTCCGTGGGCCAACACTCTAACCACTGAACCAAACTGGCCAGGGTTCCATTGATTTTTTTTTTTTAGAGAGTGGAAGGGAGGGAGGGAGGGAGGTGAGAGAGAGAGAGAGTGAGAAAGAAACATCAATGTGAGACACATCAATTGGTTGCCAACTGGGGCCAGGGATCAAACCTGCAACCCAGGTACATTACTTGACCGGGAATCAAACCTGAGACCCTTCCATGCCCTTCCATGTGCTGGCCAATCAATGCTTTAGCCGCTGAGTCATACCGGCCGAGGCCAAAGGGCTTTGTCTTTTAAGGGCCACCCTGAGACTGAACTAGTGCATCATAACAGAGGAAACTTAGTTTGAAAATAAGAAAAGCGGGCAAGGGAATGTGGCTTGGTCAGGAGTTGGAGACCCCCTCCCCCCAGCCCCAGCTGAGCCTGCACAGTGGCCAGCTCTGGGCAGAGCTTCTGACCCAGCAGGACCAGCCCCTGCCCCCACCCACCGGGCCAGCCTGTCCTCCAGGTCCCGGATCTGGATGTGGTAGAACTCCCGGATCTCCTCGGCTAACGTCGTTTCCACAGGCACGCTCACATCCTTCTTGCCGCCTTTCTTCTTCTTGAGTTCGGGCTCCTTGGCCCCCTTGTTTGCCTTCTTTTTAGGAGCCATGGCTGGTGGCCACCACTACTCCACGGCTCCTTTAAAAGGCAGGTGGTTGCTAAGGAAGTTGGTCTCATACATAGCAACAAACTGAGGGAGTGAGGCAAGGCTTAAAGGGGCCTTGCCCTCTTCCTGGTGAGGCTGGTCTGGCGAATGGCCTCCACCTCCAAGGCTGACCGCACCTCCACAGAAGCCCTAGGCTGGGGTGTCCCAGGCCATGGTATCTGAGACCAGGATGCCCTGCCAGGCTCTCAGGGCACTATTTGGGCTCTGGAGAGACCCCTTCTCTCCCCAAGTGGTAATAAGTGATAGGGAAATATTACAATGGGTCAGAGCCCTAATTGGATTGGCTCAGTGCTTACAACGTCGGTCCGCAGACTGAAGAGTCACGGGTTCAATTCCAGTCAAGGGCATGCACCTCGGTTGTGGTTTGTCCCAGGCCCTGGTCAGGTCATGCAGGAGGCAACCAGTCAATGTGTCTCTTTCAAATCGATGTTTCTCTCTCTCCCTCCCTCCCACTCTCTCTGATGATAAATGTAAAAATATCCTCGGGTGAGGATTAAAAAAACAAAAACAAAACAATGGGTCAGAGCCCTGAAAATCACCACCCTGCCCTTTTGTGCTGATCAGAGAGGGCATCCTCCCCAGAGCTCCCCGGGACCAGAAGCAGCTGGTCACCTGGTCCCCAGGCCAAGGAACCCCTCCCCTGAGGCCTCGGAGACCAGCTTAAGTCTTTGGCGATGCAGCTACACAGCGAATCATTCCCTTGGTTCGCCCAAAGCGGGTGGGGGCAGTATGGTAGGAAACAGACGTTTCATGTAGGAGGATCCCATACTGGGTTCCCAGGACGTCCCTGCCCAGAGGTTGGCTCAGTTCTCCAGAGTTCAGTGAAAGTGCTCCACTTGTCCCACACCGACCCCAGCACGCAAAGACTGCTCTGGATCTTTGGCCTGGGGTGGCAGCATCCTGGGGTTGGGGAGCGGGAAGCAGTGGGTGTCCGGCTGGCAGATGCCATGCCCACCCCCTCCCCGTGCTCCAGCTCCTACCCTCTCCGGCAGCCATGCCTGCACGCCTGCCGGGTTCACCCTGGTTGTGGCCGGGGCTGCGCAGGCCCTCTTCATCCCCGTTGTCCTGAGGCTCGGACCTTAGCAGGAGATGAGGTAGTGCCCCTGGAAGTCTGAAGGCTGGACAAGGGGAAGCTCACAGTATTACTTCAGCATTTGGAGTTGGTTTGAGCGGTTAGATCTTGTGAACTGCGGGATCCCTGCACTGGGTGCCGGGGGGATGGGGAGGGGTCAGAAACAGGGAGGTGGGTGTTACTTTGGCAACGGGGAGATGGGAGCAGTGGTTGGTTAATAGTGGGCTCGAGTTCGTCTGTCCTGGACTGCAGACTGGGTGATACACGCCCCAGAGGAGAGACAGGCCTGACCCAGTTCCTAAGACTCGGGGCCAGCAGAGGGGCCACCCCTCCAACTGGAGCCTGCCTCCTCACTGACCTGGGAGGCTCCCCCACTGGAGCCTAGCCCAGGCAAAGGATCCCCATGGTGCCTGAACCCCCCAGCTGCCTTCTCCCTCCTTGTGCCTCCCGGGTTTCTACCCTTTTACCTGAGGCCCATCTCCAGGGATAGCTCTGAATCCCAGCCCAATGGGCAGCATGGCCAGCAGCCCCTCAGGCTGCCTGGAGCCCACAGAAGGTATCATCTCTGGGACCTGTCCTCCCTCCGGTGTTAGCACCAGGGTGGCTCCTGGGGGTCAGGGCCAGGTTTAAAAACGTGTTTCTCACACAGCAAGAGGCCAGCGGGGCTTCCCGGCCCGCCTTCTGGGTGGTGGGGATGGGGAGGGAATGCTACAGCTCGAAGGGTACCCCTTTCTGGAGGTTGTCTGGAGAGTCTCTCCAAAGTTCCCCATTCTGGGGCCACAGGTCATCACCTTCCTCAGTGATACCCTCATTGCGGCTTCTTGAACTGTGTCCACTGGGGCTGCAGGTGGTGGGCCCAGAGATGCTGGAGCTGCCAGACTTCGACCCGAGTCTCCTGAGAGGACTCGGTGCAGAGCCCAGCCCAGTGGACAGTGTCCGTCTAGGCAGTGGCCGGTGGGCTGGGCACTGCCACCTCAGGAAGGCTCTGGAGGGAAGGAAGCCTAGGCCCCAAGGCAACAGGCAAGCCAGGCATCATCACCCATGCCTGATGCCTTGCCCACCTCTATGACGACACAAGAGGTTTGTTCACCCAGGGCGTGTGCGTGTGCGTGTGCGTGTGCGTGTGCGTGTGCGCGATATAGTACTACCTCCCACTAGTGTGAGCTCATGAGCACCCAGGCTGCCTTGTTCGTGGCTGCATCCCCGGAGCCTAGGATGGAAGTTGGCACCTAGGAGGCACACAATAAACATCTGCTTGCTAAGACCACACTTGGAGGGGATTCCTCAATAACAAGGGAAGGACCTCAATTCACACTTCCTTCAACAGAACAATTTAATTGGTGAAGACTATTTATTTATTTAGGTTAATTCTCACCCAAGGATATTTTTCCATTGATTTTTAGATAGAGTAGAAGGGGGGGGGGGAAGAGAAACACTGATGTGAAAGAGACACTTCGATTGGTTGCCTCCTGTACGACCCCGCCCAGGGCTGGGGATCTAATCTGCAACCCAGGTACATGCCCTTGACTGGGAATTGAACCTATGACATCTTTGTGCAGCAGGCTGATGCTCTAACTGCTGAGCCAAACCAGCCAGGGCTGAAGATTATTTTTTTAAAAAGAAACATTTAAAATGTCTGGAGCCCTGGCCGGTTTGGCTCTGTGGTTAGAGCGTCGGCCTGTGGAACAGAGTCCCGGGTTCGGTTCCCGCTAAGGGCACGTACCTCGGTTGCAGTTTGTCCCCGGCCCCAGTTGGGGTTGTGTGGGTGGCAACCACTCGATGTGTCTCTCTCACATCAATGTTTCTCTCTCTCTCTCTCCCTCCCACTCTATCTGAAGATAAATGCAAAAAGGTCCTCAGGTGAGGATAAAAAATTTAAAAAAAAAAGATAAAATGTCTGGAAATTGTTCTAAGGGCACACAGAAAATGAAAAAAACATTTGTTCAAGAAAATCTACTAAATCTCCACAAGAATGAGTGTGGTATTTGAGCAATGAACCACTCCCTTACCTGTTGTGGTATAATATTTATATATTATATAAAACTATATTTTATATAACATATTCTTTGCCCCCCTGGTTTCTGGCACAGAACTTTTTAAAACCCTTGGAACTTCCTGAGTGTCTTTTGTTATTCATAACAAGCCCCTTTCTGACCATACTTGAATTTATGCTAATGAGGTGATTCCTGGGTTGTGGGACAGCTTCGGGATGGGGGGCTGCTCACCAAAAAAGACTAAGCACATAATTAGAGGGTTAGAACTTCCAGCAGACTCTGCCCCACCCCGGCCCTGGACCTCTGGGGAGAGGAGCTGGAGTTGAGTTATCAGCCACTAGTGATTTGATTAACCATGCCTACCTAGTGAAACCTCCATAACAACTCCTAAACACAGAATTTGGGGAGGTTGTAGGTTGGTGAACACTGAGCACATCCAGTAAGCTTAATGAACTCCAGGTTGAATAAACTCAAAGAGTCACACCTAGACACATCAGTCAAACTGCAGAAAGACAAAGATGAAGGAAGAAAGCAGCGATAGAGAAACGACTCATCACATGAATGGTCTCCTCAATAAAATTAACAGCTGACCTCTCATGAGAAGCCACGGAGGCCAGAGGCAGTAGAGTGAGAAAGTGCTGAAAGAAAAACCGTCAACCAAGAATTCTGTATCCAGGAAAATTATCCTTCAGCTCAGCATCACTCCTCCACAGGCATCACTCACAGGAGAGGACAAAGTTCCTCACCAAGGTCATGTGGATTCCAGCTAAGCCTGCTTGACGCCAAGGTCTGTGCTCCTAGTCACTCTGCCTTCTGCCTCCCCGAAATGAATGCCTGGTGTTACACTGGGTTGGTGTACAGGCCCCTCAGCAGGGTCTGACCGAGACCCCCAGCCTGGACGTGGGCTCCTGGAAAGCCAGAGTGTCAGGCTGCAGCTCACAGACCTGTCTTGGGTTTGGATTGCTCAGTTATGGATTCAGCGCCATCTGCTTTGGTTTGTTTCGGAACCCCCTGCCCTTTCAAGATGTTTAACACCACCAGAGACATTTTGGAGGAGTGACTTGCAGGCTCCATCTGAGTTATGCAACTGGAGAACCAGGACTTCTGCGAGGGGCATAAGGGCCAGCCTTGTTTGCCACTGGGTGGTGGTGAGGAGGGTGGGATGGAGAGAGGTGCCAGGGCCCCTGGGTCAAAGGATGTCAGAAATAATCAAGGAGAGACCAGCGAGCCATTACTGTGGGCCTGGAAGGTACAGATGGCCCTGGGACAAGGGTGCAAACAGTATTCACTTTGCTTTATTGTGAACTCAATGTTGAACAACTTAGAATTTAAAAATTCTGATCTTGGATCTCATTCCAAGGCATTCTGGTTATCGAAACAGCTACTGATCCAAGACAATGAGTGTCTGATGCTCCCTAGCTGGAGCGAGCTTTGGACGGTACTGCATCTCTCTGAGCCTCGGCTTCCTCATCTGCAAAATGGAAGGGATCCACTCAACGTCAAGGTGAGGGGCCTGGCATGGAGCAGGAACTCAATAAACGGTCACAGTCATTCCCTCCCTTACGGCAAGTCTTACTAGACAAGAGCCGAGTTGTGGAGGCATAACGTCCACCAACTGGCCCTGACCGCTTAGATTTTATATTGCTGTGAAGGAGATCAAGATTTGAATGGGAGAGTGACTGGAGACAAATAAATCTAAAAAAAGAGTTCCTACACAGAACCCCACTTCCCTGTGCCCAGTATTCTAGCAAGTTTCCAGTGTGACCTCAACCCGAACTTAAGGGTCTTCCACCAAGCTGGGCCAAACTCATCAGTCTCCCCAGGTCACGAACAGCCTTTAAGACTAGTAAGGCATGCACCAGCTTCTGATCTGGAAAGTTCATTAGAAGGCTGGCTGGCGTGGCATTGGGAACAGAGGAGCACAGTAACACCGATAAAGTGACCTCATCGCATGTCCTAACTATACTGTCACCACGTGCTCAGGTAGGCAGAGTGCCGCAAGCGCTCACAGAGACGTTCTAGACAGAAACGGGGCGACTGGAAGGACCTCCTCGGCTACAGGCAGCACCTGCTGCTGCTAGGGGCCAAGACGAGCTTCATGGACTCTCCCCAAGCGTGCGACAGCTACAGATCTGAATGCGAGTGACCTTAAAAACCTGGATCCAGAAGACTCCAGGCCGCGGCCAGGTGGCTGGACTCCTCTCCGGGGACCACTGCAGGGGCCTTTCTCCTCCCGCGTCCCACAGTGAAACCAGCCCAGAGCCACCTTGGACACCATGAATGGGCGCTGGCTTATTTATTTATTAGACTCGAGTGCTTTAGTACAGAACAGTACAGAGATGATACATGTTTGTGCTTCAATACTTCCAAACACTGAGATTCTGACCATTTCAAGGTTCAAGACAGACTAGATTTTTAAAATATCCTTGATAAATTATTTTTATATAAATAACAGAGAAAGGAAAACCAACATGTTCGACAAACAAGGTCCTGAAGCATGAGCATTGTTGGTCACGGGGAGGGGACAAAACAAGCAGTAACAGTAGGAAATCCACCAATGCGAGTACCTACAGTTCTGTCCTAAGGAAATAAGATATCTTAAGGGGGAGGACAGACAGACCTGAAAACTAATCTGAGTGCGAAGGGGAGAGTCCCAAGCCTCGAGGCGAGAACACCACAATGCAGCGACCAGGCGGGCGGACCGGGAAAGGAAGGCGGGGCCGCGTGGAACTAGCACACACCACGTTTGCAAGGACAGCACGAGACAGTAATATACACGCGGTCTGCAGGAGTACAGGGTGGGGGGGGCTGGACAGGGGACATTTTTGTGACTTCCACTGTCATTATATCTCACAGCAGCAGCAGAACCAACGGTGCGCTCACTCCCAGAGCGGGAACTGCTGAGTCTTGAGGACGTCGAGACATCCTGCCTGCATTTGCCTCTTTAATTTCTGCATTAGAGCTAAGTTTTATACAGCTAAGTTTTATACAGAGAATAAAATGATCATTTTCTCTTACAAGCACAATGACATATGACCCCGCACTACAAAAAATAAAATATTAGGAAGTATCTTCAACTGAGGATAATCTGAGTGGGGAAAGGTCTGAATAAGTCCAACGATGGGCTATTCTTCCGGCCGTCTGGCGTCTTAGGGGATGGACCCTCTCTACAGGAAAGGGCGCTCTGACCAGCAGCCTGCAGAACCCACTCTGTTCTAGTCCATTCCTCCCCCCTGAGCTCCACCCAGCTGACCCCACTAAGAAAGAGGACCTCTGGCCAAAGGATCAGGCCTAACCACTTCTCCGAGACCAGGTCCCAGGGGGCTTGCTGCCCTCATCTGGGCAGGTGACTTAGGCTGCAGAACAACGTCCCTCCAATCACAGTGCTGTGGACACGGGCCGGGGGGGTGCTGGGACAAACTGACCACCACCCGGCACCGCCTGACCTCTCGTGGACATCCTGGCCCCCACCCACAGCCACAGCACTGGGGGCATGAGCCACTGGGGAAAGCAAAGAGGTCAGTTCCAGCTCCAACCTCCTGAGTGCCGCCTGATCCTCACTGCCCTGCCCGTCTGGATGAGAGCAGGCACTGAGGGGCGGGAACCCGAGGGAAGAGAACAGATATAGCCTCAGTTTGAAATACTCCCAGAACAGCCATCTGAGTCCCAGCAAGAACAGAAACAGCCCAAGACAGGTTTCTGCAAACACCCAAGCATCTACCTTCCCACACTCAAGCGATCTGCCCATGTCGCGCTGGGTTATGTACAAGGTCAAGGAATCACAACTAGTGGGGAGAAGGTGTCCATTCATTCTGAACGGTTCCGACACCTCTCCAGCAGCGTGCCACTTACACACCAACTTCTCCTCTCAGGGTACATAGCAAAGATAGTCTTTTTAAAAAACAATGCATTATTTTCTTTTGTTTCAGACGAGAAGAGGGCATCATTGAACACAAGAAGTCGGCGGCGGTGGCGCCGGCCAGGCGTGCAGAGCCGGGAGGAAGGAGGGACAGGTCAGCAACGTAACCAAGGCGGTCGGCAGCAGAGCATGGAAGGAAGAGGGCTCGCTTTTTGGAGGGGTGGCTAATTTTTTTTAACTGCTTATTTCTTCATCTGTTTTATTCAGTTTCTTCAGCGTGTCCAGCAGTTTTTGTGGGGTGAGAATCTGCGTGGATCCTGGGGGAGGCAGAAAAGACAGTCAGCCGGCCAGCTCTAGCTCTGAATTCTCCTCCTTCCCTGTTCCTCCAGATTCCGAGAACTGCCCTCTCCCCCCGCCCCCACCCTGGTCTAGGTTAGTGGAAGCAGGGAGGGGGTTGGGGACTGGGGTTTGGGGCCATGCCACCATAGGCCTAGGAGACATTTGGGGACTGTGGATAAACCAAACACATCCTCTGGCTCAGGCAGGGTCCCAGGCTGCACCAAGGAAGGAGCAGGCCTCTCCCTCAGGGCTCAGTGCCATCTGCCAAGGGATGAGGCAGCTGCACTCTGAACTCAAGGTGAAACGGGGAGGGGTTCCAGACCACATGGCGGGGCGGGGGAAGGTTGGGAATGGGGCAGGGGCTACGAGGGGCCTGTATGTGGAAAGAATGGTGCCTGGTAGGGAGGAAGCTGATGGACAGAACACCCTGGGGGAAGCCACTGACCTCTGGGAGCCAGGTGGTTGGTCCTGCTGTGGTGGGTGGGACCTCAGGTGTGAAAGGGAGAGGGCTGGGGTACCTGAGGCCTTACCTTGCAGAGACCGTGCATTGTAAGAGATTAGAAATGCTTGCAAAAATTTAAGCTAATGGAATTAGGTGTACTTCTACCGCAAAAATAAAAAAATAAAAAATAAAAATAAATGAAGTCCTTTTTCATAAGGAGAGATCTGGCAAGTGCAGTAAAACAAGATGCATGGACCGTGTGGTTTGGACATGGACGTACTCAACAGAACAGGTGACTGGTTGTGAGCATGAAGCCTGCACGCATGCAGAGTGGGCTTAAAGAAAGATCCTGGTGGGACAGAACTGAACAAAAGAGATCCGTACTTGAAAATGTGCCTCCCAGGAGATGCAGGCAAAGGGATGGCCTTCATGGGACGAGGGGCACAGAAACCTCAGGATGCCAGATTTCCACCCCAGGGCAGGCAAACAAGGCTTTGGCTGGCTTGTTGGGCGGGATTCCACATACCAGGGTCCCTATGCCTTTGACCACTACTTGCTCAGTTGACCTATGGCTGCTGGAACTGCAGGCCTGCGACCTTCCTGGGCAGTCCAAAACAGCAGAAAACGTGTAAAGCCTTCCCTAGCATGAGGAGTTTCTTCCAACACCCCATTTTCTGCAGTTCGAGTCCCAGCCACCTGTCCCTGCTGCAAGGGGCTGCTTGCCATTGCGCTAGTGTGGTGCCCGTGCCCATGCCCAGGCACCAGCCCCGAGCTCTAAAGCTGACTCACTGTTCCGCACACCCGAGGCTCCTGCGGCAGAGGCTTCAGCGGTAAGTCCCTGGCTGTTCTTTCCCCCAAAGTACCCTCATTTCTGTGACCTTACCAATCTTCCTAAAGAAAGTCAAAGGCTGTCTACAAATGGGGAAGCAGGACATAAATGTTACCATATTCTTCACGGTGAACCATTGTGAGAATGAGGGACTCCCTAGCGACACAGTCTATATGTCTCCACCCGGAAAGACAGCCCCAGGTTCCGGAAGCAGGGTCAGCTCCGGGGCTTCCCAGGCTGAGACAAGAGCAGTGCACAGGCCAGAAAAACGCCCTGATGCCCTCCTCCCGGCCACCCACTGAGTGCCAGGAAACAAGCAGGCAGACTCCAGTTAGAGGAAAAATCAAAAGGAGGCCTCTGATCGGGTGCCTATCCCAAAGTGCTCCCCCTACCCTTGCTTACTTGCAAATTCAGGATTTCAGGGATGCCAAAAAGAGGTTAAGGAATCCATGCTCTAGAATTTTCTGATAACATCTGATCACTGACCATCTGGTGTGACCAGCCTTTGACTGAAAGAAAACCCAGGGCCAAGAGTTACCGAGCAACCGTGAGGCCTCTCGGGACCCTGGGCCCTAGCTCACCTGGTCTCTCTAAAGGACCCAGAGCAGCTGGTGTTAATCTGAATCACCTGAGGGCCAATCCTGACACCCAATCATCTGCACTGTTTCAATACCTTGGGCAGGCTTTCCACCACCACAGACATTGCTAATTGAGTGGGGCAAGTTTAATGCAAATGTTCTCATTTTGAACCTGCCTGTGGCTGACCACAAAGCCTCTAGAACAGCAAATGGGCTCCTCTGCTCTGAGAATCCCTCTCACTCTATCTCTGAAAGACAGAAATGTGAACAGTGGTCTCCAAGAACAAAGTCAGCCAGAAAACTCAGCTGTGGGCCAGGCAGTGAGGTCTGCTGGGACAAAATCCCTTTCTCCAGTGGCAGGTTAGGACAACAGTGCTCCGGCCACCCGCACTTCGACGGGAGCATGACGCCCAGCAGCGCACTGCTGGCTTGCCGCAGGCTGGTGGCACAGCCAGGCCCGGAGGCCATGCTGCTGGCCTGGATTCTGGGCGCCCTGTGATGCCCTGGCCCTGGAGGGCTGGGCAAGAGAGTGCTCACACAGCAGCGGGCAACGGCTGGGCTCTGAATTCACATGCAAATCCCAGTCCCACTGAAAAATGCAACTTGTCTGAGCCCAATCTGGAATAAAGCAAGATATTCGATATAAAAAACCAAAAACTTCCTCCCAGGTGTAAGTGCCGTGTACAGTCGTCCCTCGTTTATCGCGGTTAATCCGTTCCAGACTCTAGCGGTTGCCCCTGGTGCTGAAGGATCCTGGGGCGCTCGAACACATAGGCCTACAGTCCACACGTACAGTGATTTTAATTTTAGTTGTAATACAGGGGTGTATAATTGACTCAGACCACCGAGTGTGTGCTGCATCATTTTCACTGTCTCGATCAACTTTTTAATGAATATATTTGAAAAAACCGCGATAGAGTGAAGCCGCGAAAGTCAGAGCGCGAAGCGGCAGGGACGCTGTAACCGGTCTCACCCAGCCTTTCCGCCCTCCTGCATTAGCCTCCGACAGCCTCTGGAAATCCCTAACGACCAGTGCTTTCAAAACACCGCCCAGAGTGCGGAGGTGAAGCAAACCAACAGATGTCATTTCTCAGGCAATCTGAAGAGATGAGTGATTAGCAGGGATTAAGGTGAGGCTGGGTGGTATCTGCCAACAGTTACCTACACTTGCTCCCTCTAACGAAGACCTGGGCAGCGGGCCAAGCGCAGGAGAAAGAGCCTCGCCTGGTCCCGCTGCACCGGGCCTGCTGGGGACGCCCGCTGTTCACTGCTAAGCGGGAGAACTCATCTGCTCTTGAAGGCTACATTCCTGCTAATACCAAGACTGGGAGGAGACGACCCCTGCCCTCTACTGTTCTGTCACCTGGTCCTAGTCTTGGGTCACGTGGATGATCACAACAGAAGGGGCAAATCAGATTCTCATCTCCTTTCTGACCTCCCTGGTATTAGGGCTCTGGGCCTCCTTTTTCTTAACTGAACTCTCTAAAATCCAGCAAAGCATTTCAGAAGCCACAAATGTACAGCCAGAGTCTATCTGTGCTCCCTTTCTCTGGTGGCAGCTGAGACCCTCTCTGCTGATCAAACCTAAAACAAAGGAAAATAGTCTGCAGAGGACAGGCTTCTTCTGCAGCAGGGAACCCAGAGTGAGTCCTAGCAGGAGCCCTGGGACCTGCGTTTGTGATTCTTTCAGACCCGCAAGTGGTCTGCCACTGCTGCAACCTTGACTCAACATCTGTCCTTCTCGGAGTTTTTTTTTTTTAATCCTCACCCAAGGACACTTTTGCATTTATCTTCAGATAGAGCAGAAGGGAGAAAAGGAGGAAGAAAGAGAGAGAGAGACACATCGAGTGGCTGCCACCCACATGACCCCAACCGGGGCCGGGGACAAACTGCAACCGAGGTACATGCCCTCAGCGGGAACCGAACCCGGGTCTCTCTGGTCCACGGGCCAATGCTCTAACCACTGAACCAAACTGGCCAGGGCCTTCTCTGCATCTTAAAATACATACTGTAGCCCTGACCGGGTGGCTCAGTTGGCTAGAGCATTGTCACGATACATCGAGGTTGTGGGTTCGAGCCCCAGTCAGAGCACATACAAGAATCAATAAATGAATGCATAAATAAGTGGAGCAATAAATCGATGTTTCTCTCTCTCTCTCTCTCAAAATTGATAAATAATAATAATTTAAAAAACCACAAAACATCTTGCAGTAAATGCTATTCACCCTCCTGCCACCTGTACACAGAAGTAGGTTATCTCTGATGACCAAACTACCAAGGTGTTTCTAAACAAAGACTGTTTTTCTTCACCACCCACTAGCTTGGGCTTGCGTTGGGGAGCAGCCTGGGCAGAATGGGAGGTACCCAGGGCCACAGCCAGCCCCAGTCCTGGCTCACAGCCACTAGCTATTTCTCTCCTCTCTGCTGCCCTGGGGAGCTGTCTGCCCAAGGCAGGAAATAGGAGATAAATGGTCTGACCTTTAGAGTAAGTCCTTTGGGGATGAGCACACTCCCTTCATGTAAACAAGCACCTTTCGAGATTTCCTAGCCAAGGTCTGATGGACCATTCTCCGGAGGCCACCAGGGAGCACAGAGAACAGGTAGGGCTGCATGGTTTGAGTCACAAACCTGAATTACAGATGGTCAGAGCTCAGAGGAGCCTTGGGACCCTATAATCCAGCCTCCCTGTTCCACACACTGTGGCCAGTAAGTGGGAATGACCTACAGTCACACAGGTATTCGTGGCAGAGCCGGGGCCAGAGTCCAGACCTCCCCGCTGCTCACAGGTGACTCACATTCTGAGACTCACTGAGCCACGTCTCAGCCCAGGGGGAGGGGGCATTTTCAGGGTCCACTGTCATGGAGTATATGCATTCAGGTACGTGAGACGTGGCCTCAGCACAGAACAGGCAGTGAAGCCGAGGCTGCCTAACGCTGCAGTGCAGTTCGGGATCAGTCTGCTACTCAAACCATCAGAGGAGGCTCCCAGCACATGTGTAGGAGGGAGGGCGAGAGGAGGGAACAGGACACGAATACCATCCGGATAACCTACCAAACAGACTGGGTTGCGGGGTGGCTGAGATGAGGCAGTGTGTGGGAGAGAGAAGTGCTCTTTAAAAGGCACAGATTTCTACCCAAAGCCTCTCAGATCTTACCAAGAGGCTTCAGTGGGAGAGGAGGATGTGATTACTCAACTCTCCCAAGGATCCCAGAATTAAAACAAACGTAATTCCTGAAAGAGCAAATGACTGTTAAGTGCTGTTTTCCCCAGAGGAACATGAGACATGAGCTCTTTCCCTGGATGGCTGGAGTTCATCGCCCCACCGCCCCTTAGAAACTGCTCCTCAGGAGACGTGCCTGTCCCAGGAAAGAGGCATTTACATGTCTGACTACCACTGACTTGGAGTCTGTCCTGACACCCGCCAAGCCTTCCCCACGAGCGGGGTCCAGGGTGTCTCCACTGGAGCTCTGCCTTCCTGGACGTGCCGCCCCTTGAGCACCGCTGGCCCCACTCTGGAGTTCCCACCACGTCCCAACCAGGACACAACGTGCTCTCTCCCTGGTGCCCACGAGTCCGTCCCTGAACCAGCGGGCTCAGGCGCCGCGCCTCTGGCATCCCTCAATTCCCGCCCGGGAGGAGTTCGCGGCAGCCCAGCAGGCCGCAGCCGTGGGGCTGAGCAGCAGGCCGCCCGAGGCCTGAGCGGGCCGAGCGGCCCGGAGGCGCCCATGGCAGGGTGTGTGAAGGCAGCATCGGACACATTTTCAATCGGTGTTAAGAACTGCAAGCATTTTCTTGTTAAAGGAAAATCAAATAAATAATAAACTAAAAAGGGAAAAATAAAAAGAGTGACGGAATAATCAAAGAAAACCCTTCAGAGCGGAAGAGTTTCTTTTCTGTAATAAGCTGCTTTTACTTTGTTTCTTTGGCTCTCACTCCATTGTTGGAGCCTGATCCTCAAAAGATACCCTAGAGGACTCCCTGAAGTCGGGGTGTCTCAGGTCCATGAGAAATTTGGTGGGAGTAAGAATATGAGTAGAACCTGCGGGAGAACAGAGGCCAGCTGACTGCTTGAACAAGGTACGTTACAGGAACATGCCAACTTAGGCCTACATTTTATGCAGCCAGTGAGGTATGAGAAAGCAAGACGCACACGAGCAAGAACGCACACACACGCACGCACGCACACACACGCATGCACACATGCTGCAAGGATGGCTGGCATGCACAAAGCAGGTGAGGCCACACGGTGGACGTCGGCTGTCTGAGCGGGGCCCCTCCATGAATCTGAAGCCACTTTATCTCCCCAGGTTACCACCTCCCGCGGGAACCTCAGGTCAGGGCCGAGGCTGAAGATGGAGGTTTACCCCAGCCCAGCTATGACAGCTTCTGCCCAAGAAGGCTGTGTTTGAGCTAAGAATCATCTACCGCATGCATGTAACACGTATGCCGCAGGGGACAGAGCTTTATCACGGGCGCCTACATAACACAAAGGAAGAAACAATATGTGGAGAAATGGCAACCAGATGGGAAGCTTCAGGGAGTAGGGAGGGGAGAAAGGATGCCTATGACCCCCCTGAACGGTGGTATCTGGAAGGAGGGGACAGCGCCAGGTCCATCCTGAGACACCAGGACCGGCCACGTGGGCTGGTGTGTAGAGCCTGCTCCCTCTGAAGCCTGGGGCTCTGTGACTGGGCCCTCCAGAGTAGAGGGTTAAAGCTGACGTGTCTTACTGCCATAAGGGAAAGGGCAGGAACCGGCCAGGGCAGTGTGTACGGACAGCCTCTGGCCAATTACTGCCAAGCGGCTCCCGAGCAAGTGCTACTCCATTTTGTAAGGAAAAGATGGGAAAAAGAGGAAGATATCTGGAGAAAGCAAGATTTTCCTCAGCTCATTGTTTCTCTTCCAGCCCTGGCACTGTGGGGCTCTACACGCAGGAAAGCAAGCTCCTGCGTTCAGTCAGCTCCTGCGCTGCTGCCTTTCTTCTGGCAACCATCAGGAAGTCCCAGAAGGGGCAGACCCGGACGTCGTGGGGCCAGGCTGGGGGGCGCTGAGCAGAGTGCAGCAGTCAGGCCGATGTCTGGGTGGTGTCTGCTCACACGCCATGTCTGTTCATCTCCAAGCGAGAGGTAAAGGAGGGGGCAGAATTTACCCCCTTTCCACCAAGCACCTCTGGGGTGAGGCCCATTCCAGGACATGGACACGTCCCACCTCAGGCCTAGTTTGAGGCTGTTCTTAACCCCCTTGGTTGAATAGCAGACGGCAGACTGGAGAGGGGACTTGTGCTCCAGGTGACCCGCAAGGCAGGGGCACAGCAGAAAGTGGGCCCGGGGCCCTGGCCAGTTTGGCTCAGCGGTTAGAGTGTCGGCCTGCGGTCCGGAGAGACCCGGGTTCAGTTCCCGCTAAGGGCACGTGCTTCGGTTGCAGTTTGTCCCCGGCCCTGGTTGGTCGTGTGGGTGGCAGCCACTCGATGTGTTCCTTCACGTTGATGTTTCTCTCTCTCTCTCCCTTCCTCTCTCTCCCTCCCACTCTATCTGTACAAAAAATTGAAAAATATCCTCGGGTGAGGATAAAAAATAAAAAAAGAAAAAAAAAGAAAGTGGGCCCGGGGCCGTCGGAGTCCGTGTCCAGGCCCTTCCCACCCATGCAGCTGCCTCTCACCAAGAGACAGTGCAGACATGAGGAAGGAACCTCTCACCCCTTAGCTTCTGCCACCCACGAACAGGTCTCGAGATGAAGTTGGGGGGCAATGGAGAGTCAAAGACAGAATAAAACACCAAAGCGTGGAATGGAGCCAAAGTGCGGCGAAGCAGGCCCTTCCCTCCAGAAAACATGCGACTCACCTATGAGCACCTCCCACTTGCCGTTGGCCTGGGTCACCTCGTAGGCACAGCGCATCTCACTCAGGCTCACGCCTCCCAGGATGAAAATGATGAGGCGGGGACCACTGCGGTACTCCCCGGGGGCCTTGTTCTTATGCCAGTGCCCATAGCGGGCACTGGGGGGCGGGAGAGAGAGAGAATAATGTTTATCTGCACTCACAGCACCTATCACTTCACACCCCCATGACTCGTTCACACATTTGTCTGTACGCAGCGGCCAGAGCAGGTGCGTAGTGAGTGTTGTGCAAGAACCGCAGTGCAAACCAGCAAGTGCTCTGGCTTCGCAGAGAACCACCACGAGCGTCTGCGCTGCGACCCGTCCGTCTCTTGGAAACAAGCGGGCAGCAGCCAGGTTCAGGTCGGCTCTGCAGTTTGACATGTTAAGTTCAACAGTTCCACCTGGCATCACGTTTGTCCAGCAGTCTACCCGGGTTGTATGTGTTTCCAGGTTTGTCTGGGGCACTGTGCTGGCAGCGAGCAGTGACCGCAGAGCCCAAGGCCTGGCTTCTGCACAAGTGTGTGCGGAGCGCCTCCCTGGGCCAGGGCTGCCTCAGCACCACGTGCAGCCCAAGGGAGATGCAGCCCCGAACCAAGGCTCACCGCCTAACTCGGGTGAGAGGGGCGGGGGGGGGGGGGGCAGGTCCTGGCTGTGCTAGGACAGAGAGGAGCTGAGTGATAAACACAGGGCAGGGCCATCTAATGCTGCCTGGGCGTCACAGGGGAAGGCTTCTCAGAAGAGGGGACACCGAGCTGCCTCCCAAAAGACACGCATTTTAGCAGTGGGACACTTCCCCAGAGGTGACCGCTCTGCCACTGGGTTTCCTCAACAGAGCTTCACTTTGTCCTCAAAAATAATGATAAACGGGTCACTTTCAGGTTAAGAAAATGGGGAACATAAAATAAAAATCATATCAAATCAAGGAGAGCAAGTTTCCTCCGGAAAGTGAAATCTTTTCTCTTGTTCCTGACTCATGACAGCATTGAAGTCACTTTCCAAACCTCAAAGGCACTGGGGCCGTGTGGGCCAGCAGACTTTCGGTCACTTTCTCTGCCTGAGCAATAGTCTGATATTCTGCCATCGTCAGCCGGCCTGCCTAGGGCACTGCTTGGATTTTGTATTTTACCCCAATGCTGCCATCAACTTCGGGCCCCCACTGCCAAGTGGGGGTGGCAGCACAATGTTGTAAATGCCACGCAGGCCTCCACCCCCAGGGGAAGCCTGACAGTGAAGCTGGAAGGAGGAGGGGCAAGAGAGAAGGTGGGCAGGCAAAGTGGCCAAGGTGGACGTCCTCAAGTCGGTCCTGGGAACTGCACATTCCAGCAGCACTGTGCTTGCCCTCCTAGAGGGAGCGACCCTCCCGTTCCGAGCTCATGTGTTCAGTCCTGACTGTCCTCAGAAGCCAAGCAAAGTTCTCGCTGTCAGAGAAACAGAGTAGCACCCTGGCTCCGAGCACCCTGCCATCTCAGGGAAGGTACCAGAGGCTGCCGTGGGTCAGGGAGGAACCTAAACCAGGGAGGCAAGAAGAGAGTCAGGGGGTGAAATGCGCTGTAGGCCTCAGAGCCCCAGGGATGGGCACGTGGCGGTGTCCTCCGAGTGCACCCACGAAAGCTTTCTCGATGATCAAGGGCAGGAGGAGAATGAGAGGAAGAGCTTTCAAAAGCAGACCCTGCAGGCACCGTGGGTGACCGAGAACACACCGAGTGGAGAACCTGGGGACAGACTGCTGTCTACGCTTATCCTGAAGTGGACAAATGTTGGTCTGAGCATCACCAGGCACATGGCAGAAACCCAGTAAACCCAAGGCATCCACACTGCCATCACGAACGGGTGTGAGAAATGTGCTCTGTGTGGACGATGCATTCATCCCCTCCTTAACAAATAACTGAGCTGAATTCTCTACAGAAGGGAAGGCAGAATGCACCGAGCACCTGCCATGTGCCAGGCTCTGCTCCAGGCACCGAGGAGAAACAGACACAGGGCTCTGCGCTCCCAAGCCGACGTCCCAGCTCGGGGAGATTGGCCATAACCGAGATCGACACAAGCAGCACACTCAGAGGTGGTGTCATCCGTGGGAGAAAACAAAGCAGGGGAGAGAGATGGGAACTGTTGCGGGGGGGCTGCAATTCTTTTCTTTATTTTCTGTAACACCTTTATTGAGTGATAATTTCCATATCATACAATTCACCCATTAAAGTGTACATCGCGATGGTTTTTCAGTATAGTCACATGTGAATTAGACCATTTTCATTCCCCCAAAAGAAACCCATACCCATCAGCGCTCACTCCCCATTGCCCCACCCCCACTCCACTCCCAGTTCCTGGCAACCACTAACCTACTTTGTCTTTATAGATTTGCCCATTTTGGATGTTTCATATAAATGGAATTGTACAGTACGTGGTCTTTTGTGATTTCTTCTTTCACTTAGCAGAATGTTTCAAGGTACACCCATGTTGTAGCATGGATCAGTACCTCATTCCTTTTTTTGCGTAAATAATATTCCATTGTGTGAATCTATCACATTTTGTTTATTGCCCATCAGTTGATGGACATCTGGGTCACTTCTACTTTTGAGCTATTATGAATAATGCTGCTAGGCACACTGATGTACTGTAATTTTAAACTGGGTGGTTAGGGAAAGGTCATAAAGGGCAATACTTATTAAAGACCTAAAGGAGCCCTGGCCAGTGTGGCTCAGCGGTTAGAGCGTCGGCCTGCGGTCCGGAGAGACCCAGGTTCGGTTCCCGCTAAGGGCACGTACTTCGGTTGCAGTTTGTCCCCAGCCCTGGTTGGTCGTGCGGGTGGCAGCCACTCGATGTGTCCCTTCACGTCGATGTTTCTCTCTCTCTCTCTCTCCCTTCCTCTCTCTCCCTCCCACTCTATCTATAAAAAAAAAAAAAAAGACCTAAAGGAGATAAGAGGAGAGCTATGCAGATATAGCCGGGGACAGATCATTTCAGGCAGAGAAAAAAGCAAGTGCAAAGGTCCTGAGGCAGAAGTAAGCTTGGCAGGTTCAAGGAAGAGCAAGGAGGCTGGTTGGCTGGAGTGGAGCGACAGAAGGGAGGAGTGAGGAATGAGTCACAGAGGAACAGAAGCCAGAGGGGCAAGGGCCTCAGGGCACTGTAAGGACCTGGCCTACTCCCTGGCCACGATGAGCACAGCAAGAGGGTTCCCATGGGTCATGCTGCATCACAACAGGACTACGATGTAGCTGACATCCAACCAGAGGCCCACTTACTGCCCCCTTGCCTGCTCAGGGATTCCCACCTACCTGACAGCGGTGGTGCTGAAGGAGGCAGAGGAGCGGGTAGAGATATAAGGGTAGTGCTTGGTGTCGAGTTTGTCCTCAATGGTGTCCTGGAAAGGAAAGAGACCGACGTTAGGTCTGCCACCTATTGGAAAACTGCTGATGGCAACTCAGGTGAGACAATTTGAAGAACAAGTCAGGTTTGCAACACCCAGAGCCTCTCCCCTGCTGCCGCTGTGGCTGGAGAGGATACCCCATAACCAGCTGACACACTAAGGTTAGTCTGCAGGCCTGTTCTTTAAGAGAAGTTTAAAAAATGCAAAAAGCCTGGCCAGGGTGGCTCACTGGTTGAGCATTGACCCATGCACCAAAAGGTCACCGGTTCGATTCCTAGTCAGGACACATGCCCTGGCTGTGGGCTCGAGCCCCAGGTGGGGGCATGCAGGAGGCGGTCAATTGATGTTCTTTCATCTATGTTTCTAGATCTCCCTCCTTCTCCCTTCCTCTCTCTAAAAATCAATAAAAGCACCCTGGCTGGTTTGGCTCAGCGGTTACAGCGTTGGCCTGTGGACCAGAGAGTCCTGAGTTTGGTTCTCACTAAGGGCACATGCCTTGGTTGCAGTTTGTCCCCGGCCCTGACTGGGAAGTTGTGCGGGTGGCAACCAGTCGATGTATCTCTCTCACATCGATGCCTCTTTCTCTCTCTTCTCCCCTCTCTCCCTCCCGCTCTATCTGAAGATAAATGCAAGAAAATGTCCTCCGGTGAGGATAAAAAAACCAACCAAACAAACAAAATCAATAAAAGCATTTTAAAAAATTACACTGATTTTTCTTGCTTCCCTTCCAATTAATTCTTTTTTTTCCCTCTTTTATATTCTATGTGAGATTATGCTATACTCTGTCCAATAAATTCCTGACACTTACTCTCAGGCTTGTAGAAACTCGGCATGGGCAGTCTCTCAGGCAAGAGAAAGCCTTCTACCCTCACTTTTCCAAGAAGCTAATTATCTGGTGGGTGGATTCCAGCTCCCCACCTCCTGCCACTAGAAATCTACACTCCCCCTAACAGCTACCATGTGAAGTCTACACATGTCTCTTTGCAGGACTGGGAAGGAGGGGCAGAAAAAGGGAGCATAGAACAAAGAAGGGAATGAGACAGGGTTTGGCATTATCTACTGCAGCAAGCAAAGAAATGTAATTGGTTTCTAAATGTCTCATGTTCACCCATCCTTTTGGTTTGTGAGTTTTAAAAATAGGATGATGACTCACTATTCTATTTAAAATATATTTATCTTAATGTATAAATCAGTAAAAACACCTGGTCTGCTATGAACTAACAAAGGGGTTCTGATCAAGTCTCTTCATTCTTAGGACCCTGGTCCCAGGGTACAGGAATTGTACAGATTGCCCCAATCCCACCCCAAAAACTAGCAGAGTTGGATTTTACGCAGGGTTCCCTTGATCTACAAGAAGAGCTGGAAGGGACAGGCTGCCTTACAAATATGGAACCTGCTACACACAAGGCATAGGGCCAGAGGACATGTCCTCTGAGGGCACAGCACCAAGGTATAAAAAGGTGACCCAAACTGCCAAGTAGCATACACATACACACAAAGCCTCCCTACATATGCTACAGGAGCCCAGGGGAGGCCTCTGTGGGGCCGGGGGCAGATGGGTGGAGTGGAGTATGGAACAGGAGACCCGATGGGAACTTTGAAGGGAGGCAGGATCCAGGGAGTGGAAAGGAGAGCAAGAGCATTCCAGACAAGGGAAGGGTTTGAACAGGAGAGCAGAGGCGGACCTATGCTTGGCAGGGTCTCTGGTTGGCAAGGAGGGCTGAAGGAGGGGAGCAGTGGGAGAAGGTGGGGGCAGGCCGGGGTGCCATTCGGAGGCCCCTTTGCCCCTGCAGAGGTGTCCGCCTGGCACACACACCTCAGCGTGGAAGTCACTATTCACTGGACTTTCAATGCTGCGATTTGTTTGGTTCCGTTGGGTGCGGTACCTTCGAGGGTCTGTAACGGGCTGGACCACATGGATCTGGGGGATCTGCACCTGGCAGTCTCTTGGGACTGCTCTTCATAAGCCCTCAGGACAAGACCTGCTATGAGGCCTGAGAGAGCTCCGGAGACCCAGATGCAAGTCCTCAGGTGTCACGGCCACCTAACAGCCGTGAAGCTGGAAGCACCTGGGCCTGGCTGTCCCTCTCCATCCCTCCCACCCCACATCACTGACCTCCATGATGTCTTTAATAATCGGGGTCCATCTTGAGAGCTGGTAGGTCTGCTCACTGATGCGCTCCTTCCGTTCTGGCTTGCTCCTGCGACGCAACGTGGACTGAATGCAAACACACACAAGGTTAGACTGTCAGGGGCCATATGGGCCCTCAGTGACCTTGCCGGCCTCAAGGACTTCCTTCAGGGAGGCAGCACGGGCAAAGACTAATGAGTGGGGGGCTGTTTTCCCTGGAAAAGCCAAAAATATGCCCCTTTTAGGAACCTGGAGCAAATTTGGTTTTTTCAAGCCATGAACAATGGCAAATGTGGGTCAATATAAAAGTGTTTTCAAAAAAGAACCAGGGAGTTAAAAAAAAAAAAAATAGATTGCTTACAAAAAATACTACTTGGGGTATGACTTATTCTTTGATTTTGTTTCAACAACACAGGATGTGCTGAAGGAATGATCTCCACCCTCATCTTGGTCCCTCTTGTAAACAGAGGTTCAGAAATGCCAGTTACAGGTCTCTGGTCGGGCGGCTCTGGAGCAAAGGCTTTGGTGCCGATTCCAAAAGGAGGGCATCTGGGCTCTAGCTGGGTCAGCACTGTGGTAGCGCAGCTGATGCCTCCTGGAAGAACGCACCGTCCCCACCTGCGCACCGTCCCCACCTGAAGAGCGCTCAGGCCCCCTCCTCATCCTGGAGCCCCCCTAGCCTCTCCTCGAGCCCACTGAGGTCGGGCCCCCCAGACCACCTGCCCCGGCTTGGTCCCAAATCAGCGCCAGGGCTGAAGACTCAGAGCGGTCACACTGCTTGACGCTGTGTTGATCCTAAAAGCAGCAGCTGCGTCTAGGTGTCCAGAGGCAGAGCCAGATGAACCTGAAGGAGCTGGTGTGACACCTGCTGTGGCTGGTTCACAGACACAGCTCAGCTCTAGTGGCTGCGCTCGACCCCCGGCTGTGCACGTCTGGCCTCCTGGCGCTAAACCTCTGTTTTACTTCCATCTCTGTATCTTTGTTTCTCTGACTGTACATGTTTTCTTTTGCTCAGTGCTGAAGTGCCTGTCTCATAAGCTGCCTTAAGTAAGTGAGGAGAGAAGAGAGGAGACCCACTAGCTCCCCTTCTGCCTCCCCCTCCCCATGCGCAAGGCGGCCCCTTACATCTGTGACGATGGGCACTCCCAGGTGCGCCATGTTGGTGATAATCTCACTGTCCTCCGGGGGGATCTGGGCATGCTGGATCAGTTTGTTCAGGTTTTCCTCAGTGATGCCTGAGAGAAGACAACCCCGTTACCACACACTCAGAGGCAGATCCAACTGCCTGGTGGGGGGGGGGGGCAGTGCCCTTCTCCTCCTCAGCATTACTGGTAACTAATCTGTTCACTGCATCAACTTTACTATAAGACAAGGACAAGATGGGGCACCTGTTCCACTCAACCAGTCCATCCCGGGCCGTGACCACCAGCAACTGCGCCGCATGGTCTCTGTCTCCCTGACTCCTATTTCTCAGCCGTCCCTGCCACCCTGGGCCCACATCAAAGTGAATGTGCACAAGAGAGTCCCTGCCCGTCTTTCTGCACAATGGACACTCGTGGGTAAAAGCAGGTATTTAAAGGCACAGATTACAAGTGCGATGCAAGTTCAAAGTGTCTGGCAGGCGTATTCTAATAAAGGGGACATTACACTCTCCCCGCTTTAAGGGCTCGCCCTGCTCCCCCACCCTGTCCTCCGCCGTAGGTCTCATGCCACTGGTTAATCCTAGAACTACTGGGGGACACTTGGACTCCAGGGAAAACTGATTTGCCTATGTTACATTTCCCCAAACGTAAAGAGCCCCTTTATGTTAAATACCCTTTTCATGTCTTTAAACCACTCCTCTGCCTTGTTTTCTCTCCCAGCTGTCCCTCCTGGGCACCCCACCATTCCTACCATTCTTCAGAAAGATGTAGAGAAGGATGATGCGGATTTTGTCATAAGTGCTGACATTTGCATCCAGCAGAATGGGGACAATGGCTCGCATTGGGTCCTTGATCTTCTCGCCTTCAGCATCCGTGCCCATGGCCAGGTCCTACAGGAAACATACAATAGCCCTGGCCGATGTGGCTCAGTGGTTAAAGCATCAGCCTGTGCACGGATGGGTTCAATTCCCGGTCAAGGGCACATACCTGGGTGGCAGGTTTGACCCCCGGCCCAGTGAGGGCATGTATGGGAGGCAACCAGTGGATCTCTCTCACATCAATGTTTCTCTCTCTCTCTCCCCATCCCTTCACTCTAAAAAAAAAAAAAAAAAAAAATCAATGGATAAAATATCCTTGGGTGAGGATTAACCAAAAGAAAACATAGCATGTTGGCCTTATTTCTGGTGACAGTCTGGATAGGTGGTAACTACTTGAAAATTGCTGGTCCATAATGTCTGAGCTCTGTGGCGGAGTTGGGGAAGGTCTAAACAGGTCCTTCTCCTCCCACCACGCCTGGTATCTAGCACCGGCATGACCAGCAAGTTTTCTAGAGCCGCCACGAGAAAAAAGATCCGGGTTTCACTTTCCATGATTTGCCCTCCTGTTTAAGGCTTGGCTGTTCCCTTCAGGCAGATGCCAGTGTGCCGGTGCCAGCTCCCAGGGAAAGTTCGATCCCGTAGGTCCTCTAGAGAGCCCCAGCGCCCTGCAGAGGGATGGGGGCCTGGCGGGACGCACTTCCCACACAGGAAAGGCTGGCACCGTGAGGGCCTCCGCCTGGCTCCACTCTCCCCACGCTGCCCCCTGGCACGGAAAGGCATGCCTTTTGAGTTTTAACTACTCGGGTTTTTAGTCTGTCTTTAATCTTCCAACCATTTCTAAGGTGAGGAGGAAAAAGAACAGGCTCCCATACCTGCAAACCCAACCCAGGGAGATGAAGGCGGAGAACTGAGAGGAGCCGAGGAGGAAGGAAGTGAAGTGAGCACAGTCTGCCGACCCCACTTCGCTTCACGCGGCCCAGTCAGACCCGCCCTCAACAGGCCAGAGGAAGCAGCACAGCAATCTCAGCCCATCAAGAACCGTTTGGTGTTGTTCTGAGACCAATTTCCCCTGTGGTTCTTACAGGGGTTGCCTGAAGATTCCCTTTTTTTCTCTCTTGAGATCCCAGGAGTTCATAGTAATTATGACCTGGCGTTCGTGGCCTCTTCCCAGTCTGGGTGGGAGGAGGGCGGGCACCTCTCCCTCCCAGGCCCTTGCATCTCAGCTGCCAGCCTCACTGATACTGTTCAGCAGGACCTGATGCTAACACCCTCTGAAAGTCAAATGAAATGTAACTAGTTCAATAAATACTACTGAGAACTTCTGAAACAATTTAACTTCCAAGGATTAATCCCAACTGCATTTTCACTGATCTAGAGACAACCCATCCTCTGGATGGTGACGCTCTTCTGGACAGGACACCGTGTTCGGCCAGATCACCCGTGAAAGGGATGGGTTTTGGCAGGGCTGCTTCCATCAGAAGAGGGGCAGTGAATCCGGACAGGTCTTCCAAACCCTAAGCTGAGCCTATCACAGCAAACCAAAGATTTAATCTTAGCCTCACACTGAGAACCTGAGCTGTGTTTTCTGTGAAAAGGGAGCTTCTGCCGAGGCGTCGGGATCGTTCAGTGCCCTCTCTCCCTTCAGAAGCTGACCCCTGCTGAGCAATGTTAGCACACTTGGAGAACGGAGTGCCAGCTTAGTGACTGCACGCTGCCCCCCTGGAGGTGGTGGCAGATTGTATTTCCCTTTGTGGATGAGGAAAATAAAGAGAGAAATAGGCACATCAAATAAATCCACGTCAGAGACAATTCAAATCCCAAACTCTCAACTTACAGCCCTAACTGCGATCAGTAAGTCTGCGGGCAGGTTTCTGACCTGCTACAACACTATCTCTCAGCCCCTAGGCCTCCAGAACTGGGTGGCCACAGCAGGAGGAAATACATTCGCAATATAATTCAGCTAGCCCTGTCCACTCAAAACCTTTGGAAAGCCAGACAAGCAAAATCCAAACGGCACAGCAATCCAGACCAGTCTAGTCCCTACCACTGTGCGGCACGGTGCTCACTCAAGAGGCGACAACGCGATCTAGTGGGCTTTCCCATCTCTGCTTCCTATGATTCTGCAGGATGGTCAAGGTCAGAGGTTACCACTCAGCTGGTAAATGGGCCTGGCAGGAAGAGAAGGAAAGGGTCCTACCTGCTCCACTCGGCAGAGCTTGTCCACAGTGCCTTGGTAATGCTTCATGCAGTCCTCGGCAAGGTGCAGGTGGGTCGAATACTAGGAAAAAGCAGAGTTTGTGATCAAGAAATTACCACTGATGCATGCAACATCTACCAAGCACTGATGAGGTACAAACACTGGGCTAAGCACCCAGGAGTCTCCAGCCTCACGATGGAGAGGAAACATATACAGGCTGGCACACAACACAAGGTAGGAAATTGTGCATCACGAGAGAGGAGCAAACCACATTCTAAGAGGGAGGAATCCTTCGGAGAGGTGGGGCGTATGATGGTTTCACAGCGTGTCCACAAATTCTTTGATATTATTTCCTCCAGGAGGAGCTGAGCTCCTCTCTCCTTAAGCATGGGCTGGATTTAGTGTCTCACTTCTAAGAATAGTGCGGAGGAAGTGATGCATGACATCCCAGATCAGGACAGGAAGGGCACTGTGACTTTGAGCTCCCTCTCCCAGGTCACTCACTCCAGGGAAGCCAGCTGCCATGTCATGATGACACTCAAGCAGCTCTGTGGCCAGGTCAATGAGAAAAGGAAGAGGAAGAATAAAGAGAAAAAGATGAAAAGGAAAAGCAATAGAAAATAAGCTGTCTATCCAGCCTTCTATTTGTGTCTAATAAAACTTGAAGATGACTGAAAAATTTGTGGATGTGAACGAATTGGTTAGTGTGCTGGGACTTTGAGACATCTTTCTGAAGCTGCTTACATACATGATTCCAAGTGATCGCTTTGGGTTGCCATACCTTGCTGAGCTCTTTCTGGTACTGGGGCATTTTCTTCAGCATCTGGGACAGGTCCCGCATAGTGGTCTGGAAGGGAAAGGAAAGCACATGGTGAGACAGACCGGCAGGTGGGGCTTGACTCCCTGGGAGCGGGAAGTCACTAAATAGCTTTAAGCAGGGAAGTGACACAGTCAGAGCTGTATCTCCCTTGACTGAGCCAGGTAAGCCACCTCTGACAAACAGCCAGGATAAGGAAAGGCCCAGGAAAGTCAGGTCATGAATTCTAATTCCTCCACAAGCTAAAAAAGGTTTCACAGTTCTTCCAGTTCAAAACGAATCATGATCCAAAACAGCAAATATGAATCCTCACAGTAACAAAGGAAGCTCTCTACAAATGTCAAAAGCTGGGGCTCCGTGTCTCAATCTTGAAGGCAAAAATAAGACAAAGTGGTCATGGATGAAGGGAGGATGCTAGCCCCCAACTCACTAGCCTGATGCCAAGAAGCCATCTCCCTGCTCCTAGAGAGAAGGCAGGGATCAATGTAAAGGGCATCGCAGCATTAGTATGGGTTTACCTTCTCCCCGGTGTTCATTCTCTTGCTAGAAGAAAAGTCTTTCAGAGAACGGGTGACTTCCCTGGAAGACAGAAGGAGGCAGCTAAGTTTTAAAGCAACACCAAGCACCTCTGTACGGATGATATAGGAATAACGCGAGATTCTTCCTTTAGGGAAATGTGGTGAATTTTCCTGCCAGTAAGGTATGCATTTAAAGTAATTTTCTAAGACAGAAAGAGAGAGACAGACAGACAGACATTGTTTTTCCAGCTACTATTCTAAACCAGGGTTCCCCAGAGTGGGATGCACGAGATGATTCAAGAAGAGAGAAGGAAAAATGAGGACATCTATTTATGTTTACTTCATCCTTTTCAAATTTATGTTTTTGTACATACTGCAAAATATACACATTAGTACAACAAAGCATATATGTACTTCACAGATAAATGTAAATACTGGAAATGCGAATCAATATTTTTCTAAAGTTGAGTGATCCCTACAGTGTAGAGACCAATTCTAAACAGCAGAGCTATCCAAGACACTGTCATTTTCTCACTCTTCCTTGTGAATTTCCTGAGGATATCACCAACTCAATGTAGCAGAATGTATCTTTTTGTAAAAACAGACTTGTTTAAAGGTCTTATAACAATGTTTAGATGTTGGAAACATTTTGAAACATTTTTCAGAGCTAAGTAGGTTCAGTGTACAGAGGCACCAGTTCTTGCTCAGAAACTCTAGGTGTGACCACAGCAGAGGAAGGTTACACTAGCTACATTAAAGAGGATTGCACTTAGTGGCACCTGGACCTTTCAAAGGAACAGATTCATTTGACATATTTAGTGTTTAATAAGCATTTTGCTGAGAGCTACAAATGCTTTCCCAAAATCCTAAAGTCCCCCTAACACAGAACGAATTTTCTAACTTAGTGAAGTTGGTGGAGCCCAGAGATCAGAAGGGATTTATCATCACAGGTTAGCACGTTGGCGACTTCGCTGAGGCAGCAATTTCACCCACTGATGAGCTCCACCCCAGAGCCCAGAGTGCACGCTGCAGCAACCGCACTGGGAGAAACGCTTCGCCAGGAGGAGCGCAGGGGAAGGGGCTCTTACTGGGACACCTCTGCGATGTGCTTGTGGCGCAGTGTTATCCAGAGGTCGTCATCCTCATCCAGAAGCACTTCCTTCACCCGTGCCTCTCCGATGCCACTCGTCTCATACCTAGAGAGAGGAGGTCCCCACAAAATTCATTCAAGTTCCCTCTGGTTCCTAACAGACAAGAGTTCCCAGCCTCAGTGGACAGATGTCCACAGGAATGATTCACAAGCCCCATGACCATCTGAAGCCTGTGGTACGAGTACTAACAGCTACAATTCCTTGGGCAGGGAGACCCAAAGCTCTAATCAAGGTCAAATGACTTGAAGTTCTGTTTTAGGTTCCTCAGGGTCAGCTGATGTGAGCGCCACCTGAGCCACATGGTTCAGGGTGTGAAGTCAGGTTGCAGGTGGCTTCAGAGTTACTTAGAAGGGAAAGATAAAGATCACGCTTTGTCCCTCAGACAGGACTGCGTCCCATCCTCCAATGTGTGGTGCCTAACTGTCTTTCAGCAGCTACCTGCTACCGGCCCTCAGCCTACAGCAACGTGTGAAATCATGAACGTCCCCAGGAAGGCAAGAGCCATGGGTGCCCATTGGAAAGGGGCAGAGATTCACTCATATTTTCAGAACGTTCATTTTGAAACCACTGCCTTAATGATAAATGTTGTAAAATAAATGACACGAGAACAACAGTCTCTTTCCATAACAATATAAATCCATTTTCGGAAAGTGAGTTTCTAATGACTGCTACCAAGAAAAATGTTTATAATACAGAAAACAGCTCCTCTGCAAATGAGGATCAGAAAGAAACTCCTGTGGATATATTTTGTTGTCACATGTGATGATCTACAAGTAAGAAGACTCAGCTCTGAATAAGCTATGCACACATGCCCAAGTCAACATACTGACAGATCCGAGCAGGCTGGGGACTGAGGTGATGTGCGCTGTGAACTAAACTCCTTGTCTCCCCCAAAAGGGGCCAGAGGTCCTGGCTAGAAATGCCATGTGGATTTTGGGAACTCACAGAAAAGCTTGCGGGCTTATTGGCAAGACTATCGATGACCCACTTTTCCTAGGATTAATGGCGCCCTTGTTTTTCCTTAAGTTAGAGGTGTTTCTGGTCCGTTTGCAAAGCTGCAGTCTCTCTGGGGTGCATACACTTACTTGTACACGTCATTCTCAATAGGCAGCAGATCGTAACTCATAGCCTGAAAGGTCAGTTCATGAAGTACAGGGGAACTGGGGTCGAAACCGCGGTCCAGGATCAGGAGCTGGGAGCGAGCCTTGTCTGGGCCCTAGAAGAAGGACATGGGGGACTTTCACAAGCCACTCCACAGTGCCGGCTTCTGCAACCAGCGCAGCCCGTCCTATAACAGGGGGCAGCTAGGAGTGAACTTGGAGGCAAACCTACTAAAATAGCACCAAATATAGTCCATTTACTGCTTGACAAGAACACAGTGAATACCATGTGCCCGCGACTCCAATGTGTCTGTTTCAGAGTGAGGTCCTCTGGAGCAGATCCAAACTGTGGCGGGTCCAAAGTGAGCTCAAGAAAAAGAGCACCACCTGGGTTCAGCTACAAACAGTGGCTCCCCATGCGGTCTTCCTGGGACCGAGGGTTCCCAGGACCTGGGCCTTCTGGTTTTAAACCAAGATAATGAGGAACTCTGTGTCTTGACTGCAGTGGGGGTTACACGAATCTGTACATGTGATACAACTGAATAGGATGGACACACACAGTACAAGTACAAACTAGTGAAATCTGAAAAAGGTCTGGAGAATGCCACTTTCTGGGGGGTGATACTGCACTACTGAGGAGTCCCCACGACACAGGGTTTTCAGTGCGAAATCTGGGGAAGTCTCAGAGAATAGGAATGAGTCGGTCACCCCTGGCTACACTGAATAGACTCTCAAAATCGGCCTGCCCAAGGGCCTGAGCATTTCACCAGGGGCCAATGATCAGGCACAGCGGCACTTATGTATGCTCTGTGAGCACGAGAGGTCCCCAGGACTGCCACCCACACAGTGGTCACTTGGTGAGAATCACGTGGTCCATGTCCAGACCTACCTCCCCCATAGTCGGGTCATCAGCTTTGTAGGCGTCGAGCTTGTCCTGGATTAGCTGGGCCAGCAAGGCATTGTCCTTGTATTCCCTGGCAAAGAAGGAGACTCGGGGTGATCACCCTCAGGGAGAAAGGCAGGCCGTGCAGGCAAGCTCAAGGGGCGTGTGCACATCACCTGCATTGTTCTTTCACAATGAGAATATATTCACATATTACATGTATAATTAAAAACAGAATAATATATTCAGCTCAATGCCTGGAACATAAATAGGTGATTTTCTAGTTCCTTTTTTAAAATTTTATTTTCTTTTATTGATATATATATATATATATATACTTTTAGAGAGAGAAACATCGATGTGTAAGAGAGAAAGAGAGAGAGATGTCGATTGACTGCCTCCTGCACCCCCCCACCCCCGAGGATCAAGCCTGAAACCCGACATGTGCCCTGACTGGGAATCAAACCCAGACCTCTCAGTCCATGGGGCGACAAAATTCACTGAGCCACACCGGCTGGGCTAGTTCTCTCTCTTTCTCTTTTTTCAAACTATCGAAATGCAAACAGTCTTTCCAAGCAGCTTCAGATAAACAACCACACATCGGCAGAGGGTCCTGACCATCCATCCTTTTCCCATGATCGGCCGTCTGAGCCTGATCCACCTGATTCTCAATGCCCTCAGTTCAAATTCCCTTGGGTCTTGTTTTGCTGCAAGTGAGAACCTCTGAACCTCACCCCTTGGCTAAGTCTGACATCATTTCCTGGTCCCCACCCAATTGTATACAGTGTGTGGCGGCTGCCTGCCACCTGGCCAGGCTCAGGACTAAAGCAGCTCTGTCCCAGCCCTATCCCTCCCACGAATGAACTCTAATCTGCCACTGCTCCGTCAGGAGATATGGCCTCGGCCCCCTCTTGACTTGCACTAGGCTTCTGTCAGTGAACACCAAGAACAGAGGGAGGCCAGATGCTGGCAGACCAAGGGAGGCGGTTTCCTATGGTTACGTGTCCAGCAGACAATGAGGCAACAGGATGGGTGGAGCGCCGATCCTTGCACTCCAGGCTCAGGCCCTCAGCTCCTCTCACCATGGCCCCTGCTTCCACTTCCTCCTCGCCTACACTTGCTCACACTCCCATCTTCACGCTCCAACCTCACTGCTGTTCACTCCCGACAACCCCCAAAGGTTTCCCAGGGATGGCCACTGAAGGACCCCAAAGCTGGCATGAGGCCCCCAGAAATGGCCCCATCTCACCCTGCTGCCCTACGCATACACTGTGCTGGATCCCAATCCTCCTCAAGCTTGCCCTTGGTTTTCCCCGCTCCATGCTTTTGCTCATACCAATGGCAAGAGCCAATTGTCCACAGAAAGGGCCCCCTGCCTCTCATAGGTCTACTGAAATCCAAACCTGCCCTTTAAGACCTAGTTCAAATGTCACCTCTAGTCTGAAGCTGTTGTTGATCTCTGAGCTTGAAGGGCCCTCTCCCTACTCTGGAGACCCAGGCCCTTGGATTGTCTGTCCTAAGGCACTCATCTCGCAGGGCTTACACTGTCGGTGCGCGGCTTCCAGTACATCTCCTGGGATCTACCTGCCTGCCCAGATGGGGGCTGTGTCCTCAGGTTGTCTCCTCAGCACTTAGCACACATCAGGTAAGTGATGGGCGAATGACTATAAAACCTGAGGACAGCCCGGCCACTGTGGCTCTGTGCTTAAGCATCGACCCATGTACCCAGAGGTCTCCGGTTCAATTCCTGGTCAGGGCACATGCCCAAGTTGTGGGCCCAATCCCCAGTGGGGGGTGTGCAGGAGGCGGTCAATCAATGTTCTCTCTCATCAATGTTTCTATCTCTCCCTCTCCCTTCTTCTCTAAAGTCAATAAAGAAAAAAACATTTTTTTAAAAATCTGAGAACTATGTCCTTTAGAGAATTATTCTCTTTGTATTTTACCTTACTCTACGACATCTTCTGCAAAGATAATGTTTGTTTTTAGAGGTTATAAAGAGATGAAAAACTATAGAAAACCTGGGTTGCTATTACATAGGGGTTAATTTTTTAAAAATATGTTTTTATTTATTTTTAGAGAGAGAGGAAGGGAGAGAGAGACAGATACATCAAAGTGAGAAACACTGATCAGCCGAGTCCTGCACACCCCCTACTGGGGATCGAGCCCGCAATCTGGGTACGTGCCCTGACCTGGAATGGAACCGGGACCTCTCAGTCTATGGGACGACACTCAGTCCACCAAGCACACCAGCTGGGCTAGGGTTCATATTTTAGTTACTCATAACTGAATATATATACTTTATACTCTTTTCGGTATGTATTATTATATTTCACAATAAAATTTAGAAAATAATGAAACCACTGGAAGAATAATTATAAATGCGAGACACTCAAATCTTGACCCTCTTGAGACAACTGCCAAAGGAATCTTAAGGCCGGACGAGGAGTGGGACCGTTCCTCCCGCGGTGCTGCCTTACCCCCGGTACCGCACAGCTGGGTACTCCTTCAGGGTGGCACACAGAGTTGCGATCTGCTCTGCCAGGCGCTCCAGTATAGGATTCTTCATCTGAGCCTTGTGGGGACTGTAGAAGCTCTGGAAAGAGTCAGCAGAGTCCAAGGAATACACCTGAGGAGGAGGCAAAAAGCATACCCATATGTAGTGTTTGCATCCAGAACGGTGAACTGTCAGCATCTTCTCCGTCCCTGGGAGTGAGTCTACAGAACATGTGACGTTTATTCTTCAAAGATGTGCTGGGTGTCTTCTGTGCCAGGCACTGTGCTAGACACGTGGGAACTATTAGTGACCAAAACATAACTGTCCTCGTGGAGTGTGTGAAGGGAAGGCAGGCAATAAGCAATAAACATAATAAAAAGTAAGTTTTATGGTATGCGAGAAATTGATAAGTGTATGAGAAAATAATAAAGCAGAGAAAGAATGCCCAGGAGAGCTGGACAGGGAGGACAAGGCCTCCCTGAGGTGACACTTGGACAGGGTTTGAAGGAGGTGCGGAGTTTCTCCCCAGGAGGGGGACTTCCAGATGGAGGAAATGTCTGACGAACAATGAGGAGACCAGGAGAGCAGGAGAGGAAGCTAGTATCAGACCTCAGGGGTCATTATAGGTTTAAGTAAATAAGGGATAAGCTAGGAATTGTGCTGGGACTGTGTACAAATAATGGAGCTTTTTGATTTAACAATTTTCTATCCTCAGGAGTATGTTCTAACTATTTTTCTTGGGAGAGTTCTAGAAGTTTCAAATGTTCTCTTGAACTACCTAGCCTACCAGCCACTGGTATTCTCTCAGAATCTCATTTATGTAAACCATACTGATCATCGAGAAAACCTGAAGTTTTTTGTTTTTTTTTTAAGTTTGTTACTTTTTAAAAATCTATGAAATATGATATGTTTGAACATGCTGCAGTTGGATTTTGTTCAATCCGGGTGGTGACAGGGCTCACACAGAGAAGGAAATATCCTGCCCTCGGGCTGGGAGCAGCCTTCAGACCAAGCGAGCCAGGAAAGAGACTGTCTGTCTTAAATGTTCACACTGTACTTTTTCCATCCCTCCTTAGCTAAGAGCAGGTCACTCTTTGGTGTCTAGAAGCTGATCTATAAAGATGCCAAATGCCACAATCATTGTCTTTATCTCTACAGAATGTATAAAAGTCCTGTTACTTTGTTTCTTTGTTTGCTAGAAGAGACATTCTAACAAATCTTAAAATACTAAGATGCATATTTTGCACACATTCTCACAATCAGCTTCACCGTTACTGGCTTAACAACTTCGTGTTTTCCAAGGAGGCAGTTTGCTGCCACAGCCCTTGGCACAGGAAGTGTTAAGGGCTAATGACGAAGGGGACCATCTGTTCTCTCAGCACATGACAGGCTGAGGTTATCTCCACATAAAAACAGTCTCCTTCACAGCAGATGGGGTTGTCTGATCCGTCTCCTTCCATGCCCTTTTCAGATTAGCTACCTTTCGGTTATTCAGGACTCGGCCAGTTGGAGTGGCCACTGTGAGCAGGACAAATGCACACAAAGAAAGGCACTGTGGCTTTTTTAAAAAGTCAGAAATAACTGGAGAGTAAGATGAGGGCCGGGGCAGACCCCTAAGGAACACTGCCTCTTTCCACTACATAAACATCCACTCACACCTCACTCAGTGATCCAGACTCTGACATGTTCCCTCCCCCACTCCCTGCATGCGCCTGGCCCCACCCTCAGTTCCTGATGGAAGAGCTGGGTTGCAGAGCTGCGCACCCAGCCTCGCTGCGCACCCAGCCTCGCACCCAGCCTCACCTGGGACTCGTAGGGGAGAAATGCAATGTTGATTTCCGTCAGGGTTTTGATGACTTTGGCCGCTCGAGATTTTACCAGCTCGTTAAACAGGGCATCTGGACAAGCTGCAAGACAAAAGGTGCCAGGTTTTCCTGTCCGTTGACTGGTTCATTTCAACAGTCCCATACGTCTGGTAGTTTCTTCATTTATTAGGTATTTTAAAAGGCAAATAAAAAGGTCATCCCATCCTAAGATATCTACTACCTCTAGGCTATAAAAGGAGAATAAAAACACCGACAAGGCCCTCAACATAGAACAGAGGAACAACGGGCAATAAAGACTGAGATATTGGGAGTTAATAAAAACTATTTTCTGCTATCGAGGAGAGGAAGGAAAAAAAACAGAAGAGATTAAGGGGTAAGAAAAAGACCTGCAATATATACAAACACCATGCTTATGAAAGATAAAATAAAGAAAAATCATATCACTGGGCAATGGGATGCAGGTGTTTCCCCTGGACCCTCTAAGGACCTCAGCTGCTCAGGAGACCCATTTGGTGGGGAACCATGATTTCACATGACTCTCCTGGGCCAAACATGGGTGTAGGATGCCAGAAATGCATTACTGTTTCATTATTACTAATGCCATCTACCTGCTCTCTTTGTCACCCACATTCAAATAGTGTAAAATTATTCTTTGCCAGAACCTTTCCCCACTCTCACAGTGGTGAGTTGGGTGGGTTTTCCTAGGAGAACACTAAGGGATCTGTTGTTATTGTGCACTTCAGCTATCCAGCCCTACGCATCTCTCTGCTATTAACAAAGACTGACTGAGATGTCAGTGCACTAGGCTCCATGCACACGACCTCCACAAAGTAACAGAGCGGACTCTAGGACAATGGCGCAGTTCTAGCTGATGCAAAGACCACCAGATGAAAAATCTCTGTGGTTCAAAACAGATGGAAATACACTGTTGTTGACAGTGATATCTGGAAGTCCATAAAATGACACACCAAGGCTGGCATTGGGAAATTCAACTCAGCATTAAACCCTCTAGTCCTGCCCGGCCAGTGTGGCTCAGTGGTTGAGCGTCGACCCATGCACCAAGAGGTCGACAGTTCGATTCCCGGTCAGGGCACATGCCCAGGTTGTGGGCCTGATCCCCAGTGTGGGGCAAGTAGGAGGCGGCCAATCAGTGTTCTCTCTCATCGACGTTTCTCTCTCTCCTTTTCCCTTCCTCTCTAAAATCAATAAAGGGAAAAAAAAAAACCCTCTAGTCCTAAGAAGAGGCGCTAGTTTCCATCAGGAAGGACTGCCCAGCCTAGTAGGTTTATATTTGTGTGTGCTTATTTTAATCTCTTATGCAACTTTCCTTCTGAAAGGAAAATGAAAGATCAGGACAATCAATGGCAACAACCCATTCCTTCCCTGTTGCCCTGGCCGCGCTTTGGCTCAACCTTGCCGTGCAGAAACGCTAACCTGGAGGATGGGCAGCATCTGCCAGTCATACTTACAGTCGGTGAAGAAGACATGGGCAGCCCGGTACTTAGCGGTCGGTGGGTCCTTAAAGTCATTGATGAGAGAGCGGACAGACTGTGGAGAGGGACAAAAGAGGAAACTGAATCCAAGTCTGGAAGCAAATGGAACCTATATCTGGACTAAGTTAAATCCAAGACGGCTTTCAAGCTACTTGCACAAAATATCAGGAGATTTTCCATGTATAATCCGAACTGGTGTTTGGCTGTAACGGAGTTCTGGGGACTTGCAACTGGGATTATCTGAGAGTTTAGATGAACAAAAGCCTTTTAGACCATTCCAGAATGACAGTGTCAGTTCTTTGAGCCACCATAACGTGGGTTTCTAAGAAGAGACCCACAAAGGGGGAAACTGGTCAGAAACCTTCCAGGAGATTCACACTGATAAAGTTCTGGCAATTTAGTTGCCTCTTCGGGAACTCATACATAAGCCAGTTTTTACAGGTGAAGAGAAAGTGTAAAAATGGGGGAATTTATGGAGAGACAGACCTAAGACAACTATCAGCCAAAAGCAAGGAGGTGGGCCTTGTCTGGATGCTGATTTGAACCAACCCCCCAAAATGATAAGACAGGTATTCTGAACACTCATTATGCAGAGAGGGCGTGCAAGGGAGCTAGAATGGCCCGGCGCTGACTCTCCAGACAGCCGCTGTATCTCAGAAAGCCTAACGCTCTCCTCGCTCCTCACTGCACCCCTCCCTCCGCTTGCGGGCTGCATGCTTAAACTGTGTGTCAAATGCGTGCTTAACCTAGAAACTGCAGACACTGCCGCGCAGGCACCAAGCCAGCCAAAGCTCTTCTGGGGGAGGATTTACCTTCTCAGACGGAGTGATGAGATACACAGCCTCCAGGCTGGGCAGCGGCTCCCTGCACTTGTTGATATCTTCCACAACTAGACAACAAGACAGCGGCCCACCGTGAATAAGAAAACACAACTGGTCACCACAGGGCTGGAAGCGACAGCTGCAGGTCCCCTCAGACTGGCACAGATAAAAATTGGGGTGCAGGGCAGATCATGGCCCCTTCCTTAGAGTCACCATTTTCTGCTGTCTCACAGTGCTCCAGATTTTAGAAAACCCGACACCGTACCACACTAAATATTTCCCACTTCTTGTTTCAGTTGAAGTACATGTTTTGATCTGCTCTGATTGAAAATAAAAAGTTTGCCTCTTCCTTCCATTTTTTCTCACCTGTCCCCCCAAATCCCAATTCCTTTAGAATTTCCATGTTGGGCTTATTTATCAACCATTGGATGTTTTGTCATTTCCCCCTGTATCTCAAATGAGGACATTCCAAACATACCCTCTCAGTAGCTCCAAGACTGAACAGTATATGTTGCCAAAGCAAACCAGGGCATTGTGTTTGCTTGTTCTTTTAGTTATGCCAGTTGCTCCACCTGGAAAGAAGAGCTTTGGGACAGTCGTCCTCCTAGTCACCTGGCAGAGCTTAAGACAGTCACCTCTGCTGTACCGTCCTCTGGCACAGAGAGGGCAGTACTTGGTGCCATTTCCCATGCAGGTGATTGAGGGAAGTAAAGGCAACACTTTAGAAGTATCCTTTGTCACATTTATAAAGACTTCTCACCCCAAATGATGTTCAAATTAATACCAAAATCCCTCAACCAGCTTCTTTACCAGCGGTTGTACATTTTTGAGTTTCATAAGCCAATAGTGCTTTCTCCTGAAATGTTTTGGGATTCAACACAGGGTTGTTAACTTTTAAATTCTGTCAAATAAGGACATTTTTAAAAGCCGCCTTTCGGGTAGGGAAGCGTCTGTGTGCAGACGGGGAGAGCCGAACTCTCATCTACCACAGGAAGTCAATAGATAACGTCCAACATTGATGGATCAAGAGATAATATTATAAGCATTTATTTAGAAAAATAAAAAAGAACCAGAACAAAGAGCAGAGCGGCTGTTTGTGGGCGCCTGGCCCTGGGGGATGAGGGAGAGAGGAGGAAGGCAGGGCACTGCTGCTCCTTTGTTAGAAGCTTGTTAGCTCCATTTGGTTTTCTCCTCCCCTTAACTTTGTGCATTTTTTGCTTTGCTAGAGAAAAATATTGTTTTTAAAAATGAATGAAGAAAATAACTTTGTAAGCTCAAAACAGGGGCAAGCCTGGTCCTGAAGAGCTGAATAACAAAAAGTTACACCAAAAATTATGTAGTCCCATTTACAGGACTATGTTTCTGGTGATAGATAAACTGGATTTGGAAATGTTCCTTTAAAAATTGGGACTCAAGCCCGGCCGGTGTGGCTCAGTGGATGGAGCACTGTCCCATGGACTGAGAGGTCCAGGTTCGATTCCCAGTCAGGGCACATGCCTGGGTTGTGGGCTCGATCCCCCGTGGGGGGCCTGCAGGAGGCAGTTAATTGATGTATCTCTCTCACATCGATGTTTCTCTCTCTCTAAAAAAATTTAAAAATCGTATTAAAAAAAGAAAAGAAATAATACCTCAAAAGAGATTGGTTTTTAGTCAGTGCTGTTTCAAAGGTTAAAATGCACGATCCCTCTTAAAGGAGCCCCGAGGGAGATGAGTGAGCACGAGCCCTGGAACAGGAGCCGGGTCCAAGTCCTAGTCTCCGGTGCGACACTGGCTACGAACCTTGAGCAGGTGATTTAACTTTTTTAAAATATCGATTTATTGTGAAATTATAACGCACATTGTAAAGAGGGAATAAAACATAAACATACCAATAATTATAAAGTGAGTGTCTGTATAAGCAGCACGCACGTTAGGGAGCAGAACCACCAGCACTGCAGAAGTGCCCATTCCCTTCATCAGTTTCCGCCCTTCCGTCCAGACAACCACCATCCTGACAGGAATAGCAACCGCTTCTCTATGGTTATACCACTTACATCTGCATTTCAAGACAGTCTAGCTGTTCTGCCTGGATCTGCACTGCACATAAATTAAAGCACACTGGAAGTACTTTTTAGTATCTTGCTTCTTTTGCTCACCAATATGTTTATCAGTCACTCATGCTGTTGTGAGTAGTCAGAGGCCATTTGTTTTCATTGCTATATAGTATTCCCCACTGTATGGCTCTACCACAATTTTGTTTACCATTCATTCTACTCTTGATGGATATTTTGGTTGTTTCCAATTTGGGGCTACTATGAACAACATTCTGTGAACATTCCTTATGTTCATGCTGGGCACACACGCCTGAGGCTGTCTAGGACACACATCTAACCATAGGACACACATACCTTCAACTCTCCTAGACACCACTAAGTGCTTTTCAAAGTAGCTATACCAACTAACTCTCCATCATAAGGAAGTTCCCAGTTTTCTACATCCTCTCTGTCACTTGGCATTATCAGAGTTTAAGTATTCTAGTCTGGTAAGTATACAGCCATATCTTACTCTGGTTTTAATTAGTCCCCTGGCCCCTAACACAGGTAATTTTTCACGTATTTATTGGCCATTTTGTTAAGTGCCTGTTCAGGTCTTTTGCCTCCTTTTATCTATTGAATGGCCAGCCTTTTTCTTGACCTAACCTTCCTTTTGGCATCCTTTAACAGATATTTAATGAGCATCTAGCAGTGGATTAGGGATTCAGTGATGAACAAGAAGCCTTGGGTCTCTCTCAGAAATTTATAGTCTTACCACCAAGTTGTTGGGAGAATCTAAAGTCAAGAGAAAGAGTTTAATAGGGAGGGGGAAAGCCGGCACAGAGGGAAGGCCTGAGTGTCACGGAAGGGCAGGGAGAACGGTGTGCTCACTTGTTATCCCCTCGGTCATGATGTCTGTCATCTTACAGCAGGAGGACAGCATCCTCATGCTCAGCTGATCGACCACCAGCACCTGGAAGCAAAGAGACCAGCTTACAGCCTGGATGGCATCTTTCCGATCCTCTCATCGGCTTACATGTCAGGCTTCCCCACGAGCCCCGGACGGCAGAATACTGAGTTTCGCTATTTCCTGTGGGCCAGAAGTTTGCTGAAATACATGCCGGCCTTTTCCTTCCACACGCAAAACTAACTTCAGAGTTAAGAGTTTGTGCTCACTGACTTGATTTAATTGTATAAGCTTAAAAAAAATTAAACTTTTCATTTTTCATGATAAAGAGAATAATTACTCATAAAAAAAAGAGAGAGAGAGAGAGAGAGAGAGAAATAATCTATTGCACCCACACTCAGAGAAAACGAAATTGGAGAGTTTTTCCAGGGCATAACTCTTTCTTAAAGGGAGAAGAGCACTTGTGCCACACGGACGGTCTGGAAGGTGAGGCCTGTGACAGTGTCATCAGGATGCACCTTCACAGCACATGCAGCGCGCTTCGGTCCAGACGGGAGGAACAGGCATGTGCCCTTGGGTCTAAAAGCTTCACGCCTGCAATGCTTCAGCTGGCCTCTCCCAGCTCCATTCAGCCCACAGGAGAGAGAGGAATGCGGTTAACAAGGCTAGTTCTTGTCTCCTTTAATGGTATAAACCGAGGAAACAGAGGCTAGACTCTGCTGCAGTATAAGGGCCAATTTTCATTCTACGAGGCAACCTCCTCAAGATCTTTTTAAAACTCTATGTCCACCAAGACAGGCACAGAGAGTTCCCACAGATGGCCTGCTGATCTGGCGGTGTGGAGGGTGTCCTGGCTGAAACAGCTCACAAGGCCAGGGGTGAGCGCAAAACCCTCCTGTGCCAACCACCCTGCTGTTCCCAGCCTGATGGACTTGAAAATGTGTGGGCTCTTGACTACAGGAAAACTTGGGGGCAAGAGTGGTTGGAATAAACTCTTCAATAACACACAGGGAATTCAAGTGAAACTACGTGCTCTCCTGGCCAGTGAAAGGTCCAGCCCCAGATAACCAAGTGACCCTTAAAATGCTGACTTCCTGAATGGAGCACAGCACATTGTCCCACTCCTTGCGTCACTCACTCCGAGAACTGAGGCCATAATCTGTGTGATTGGCTTGAATAGTTCTTGCATGTACATTATATGTGAAACACCCAGCATTGCTCTCAAAGTTACATGCATAAACATGTAGTTACTGACAGATGGGGACAGACCAGAAGAGGGCTTTTCGCACTGTATGGGCTCCATAGAGATGCTTTAGGGCTGCCAGAGGGGCCAGAAGGTATCATCTTTCTCTCCCATAGCAGGCAGAAGTCCAGCTTCTTCTGTTTATATATGGGTTCCAGGTAAGATTTTGTTTGAATAAAAGAGTTATACTGCAAACCTGCCCCAGCAAATGATCTTTCAGATAAGCTTTATGACCAAGAGATTTCATAATCAGAATCATCAAAAATGAGAGACATATGCAGATGACCTCTTTTTGGTAGTCTATGGACACAACAAAGGTCTTCACTCCCTGCCTCTATACCTTTGCCTCAACTCTACCCTCACTGTTATTCCTGCCACATGAACTCACCTTTAAGGCCATTAATTGTACTGTTCTACTTACCTTCCACTCCCCCTTCTTCTTTACCTTCTTTATCACATCATGCAAGATCTCTAAAACAGGAGGGAAGAAGAAAAGGAGGAAGAAAAGGAGGGGAAAAGGAAAGCTTAATGTGAGTTCAAGGACTTCCAACAGCTGCCTATTAGACTAGGTCATTTTTCTCCCCATGGGCTTTGTTCTCTTTGTTCAATCAACCTGTTCGCTGAGCCACAATAAATTCACCATTAAGAGGTCTCTTCCTGTTTCCTTAATTTGGTGGTTCTCAAACTTCCTGGTCTAAGGACTACATTATACTTTATTATTATTATTTTATCCTCATCCAAGGACTTTTTTTTTTTTTTTCATTTATCTTCAGATAGAGTGGGAGGGAGAAAGGGGCGAAGAGAGAGAGAGAAACATCGATGTGAGAGAGACACATAGACTGGTTGCCACCCATATGACCCCAACTGGGGCCGGGGACAAACTGCAACCGAGGTACAGCGGGAACCAAACCCAGCACTCTCTGGTCCACAGGCTGATGCTCTAACCACTGAACAAAACTGGCCAGGGCAGGATGATATTATACTTTAAAAAAATTAAGGTTCCCAAGGAGTGTTTGCTTATATAGGTAAATATCTACTGATATTTACTGTATTAGAAATAGTGAACTAGAGCCCTGTCCAGTGTGGCTCAGTTGGTTGGAGCGTTCTCCCATACAGTGAAAGTTCACGAGTTAGATTCTTGGTCAGGGCACTTACCCAGGTTGCAGGTTCCATCCCCGGTTGGGGTTTGTATGGGAGGCAACCAATCAATGTACAACCAAACAATGTACAAACAATCAATGTACAATAATATTGATTGTTTTTGTTTTTCTCTCTCCCCCTCTAAAAATCAAATTTCTTTTTATCCTCACCTGAAGACACTTTTCCATTTTTGTTCAGATAGTGTGGGAGGGAGAGAGAAACGTCGACGTGAAAGGGACACATCGAATGGTTGCCACCCGCACGACCCATCCAGGGCCAGGGACAAACTGAGGTACATGCCCTTAGCAGGAACCGAACCTGGGTCTCTCTGGACCGCAGGCCGACGCTCTAACCGCTGAGCCAAACCGGCCAGGACCAAAATCAATTTTTTTAAAGAAATAGCAGCTCTGAGAAATTTTTAAAAGTTAATTAATTAAAGCAACAATAAATCTGTTAACATAAATAGCATTTTAATAAAATGACTATTTTCTGCAAGAAAACAATTTTAGTGAGAATACTGGCTTTTTTTACATCTTTGCAACTCTTTTTAATGTCTGGCTTCATAGGAGACAGGTGGACAACTGGAGTCTCCTATCTGCTCCTACAATCAGTTGTAAATCAGACAGTATCTGGAAAACACTGTGTACTTGTAAAAGAATAAGAGTGAACAAGGCAAATAACACCTTATTAGTCTTATTAAGAAGATAGTTTCGACCTCATAGACTCCCAAAAGGGTCTTGGATTTGAGAACCATTGCCGTAAATTAAGTGAGTAAAAGGCTGTGACAATACCTCAGGCCATAGGAACCCCCTTAAGCTCCAAAAACAGATATGAAGCCTTTCCAACCCTAAGCATATCTGTGAGATGTTCTTACCCCCAAATCACCATTTTGGTAAGCCCCAGTCTCTATTATTCCCCTCTACACATAAGTACACACCTAGCCATGCAAATCTCACAGGAAATACCACTCAACCTCCCTCTCTAAACCCAGGTAGTAAACAAGCCTGGAAGGACTTATTAGCAAGTGTGTTTCAAACGCGTAGGTCATTCTGTAGAGCACAAGGATTCCTTACTCTGCTTTTGACTATCTGCAATAATCTGATGTGCTGTAAATGTGTTCTAAAATGTTGAAGAACTGTATTCCTGTATTCCTGATCATAAAAATACACTCACTGAAGTACACTTGGAAAACACAGAAAAGCATAAAGAAGAATACCATGAATTTCTTGCATACTTAAAAAAATAAAAATCATCTGTAATTCTGCCAATTTGAAATTTCCTACTGGCTTTTTCTATGCACTTTTACAGTTAAAATCACGTCGTGCATGTAATTTTACTTATGCTTTTTTTTTTGTAAAGTTAAACTCATTTCCTCAGGTTAATAAAAATGCTTCCAAGGTTTTAAAATACAACCATAATAGTCTATAGTTTCCTAATAGCCATTTAGATTATTTCCCATGTTTCAGTGTAGTGAAAAATTGGAAACAAATATATCCAATAATAGAGCAGGGGTAAGTAAATTAGGTTACATTTGTGCAATGGACTACTATGTACTCATCAGAAATAATGATATGGGAAACTATATATTCATTCATTCACTCTTTCATTTAGTAACATTTGTTGAGTAACCACTGTTTGCCAGTCATTAAACACCAGGCATGAACAACAGCAGGGCACGTACCACATGGCATCCAGTAGGAAGTAGGGAGAAGACCTTGGTGGGCTTGAAGATTTGGTGGCAGAGGTGAGGGGGTCTCCTTGTTGGAGAGGAGGTCACTGGCTAAGAGTGGGCAGAGTAGCATTGCATGTGGTGGGTTTGAACAAACAGGGTATCAGATACCTTCCTGAAGACTGGGAGAGTGGATTTACCACAGAGACAGGTTGGCATTTCTGAACAGTATTAAGGGCTAATTTGAGGTTCATGACCATGAATTTAGTATGTAACCAGACAGCTCAATTGTGTGATTTCATTTTTTTTTTTTTCAAACAATGTTCGGCTGTCCAGGTACAAACCAGGAAGGAAAGAAGAGTTGGTTTCAACTAGGGTTAAGGTTTCCCCAGCTGAGTACAACAGAGGGAAAAATTATTCAAAATATATGATCAAGGGAGGAAAACGGGCATGTTACAACCCCTTTTTTAAAAGTATATATAGCCTGGCTGGTGTGGCTCAGTGGACTGAGTTCTGGCCCATGGACCGAAAGGTCCCAGTTCTATTCCTGGTCAGGGCACATGCCTGGGTTGCAGGTTCAATCCCCAGTAGGATGTGTCCAGGAGGCAGCCGATTGATGTTTCTCTCTCACATTGATGTTTCTATCTCTTTTCCTTCCTCTCTCTCTAAAAAAAACAATTAAAAATATTTAAAAAAATAAAAGTATATATACATAGGAAAAAATTAGAAAAACTTATACCAAAATGCTATTTTTGTGTAGCAAAATGATGGTTGATCTTTAATTGCTAATTTGTCTTCCTATGTTCACCCAAGCTTTCTGCATTGCGTATACATTGTTTTTTGTAATAGGAAAAATGGTATAAAAATGTGTCAGTGAACATCTCTGTGCCCAGGGCTTTTCTTCACACAAATTATCATTAGGAGAGCTTTCTGGGTAGAATGAATAGGTAGAGTATAAGTATCACCAGTACTTTGCATGACTCTCCAAATTAACATAGTAACATAAAATAATACCTGAGGTGTGCTTACTTTATTTTATTTTTATTTTTTTATTTCTTAGACTGTTTATTATTTAGAACTCTACTGCTTCATTTTCAAGTATTTGGTTTTTTGTTGTTTTTTTTTACATGTTATTGTTACTGATTTATAATGTGATTCTATTACAATCAGAAAATATTTTCTTATGATTGTAAATTGAGTCTTTGAGTCTTTTTATGGCTCAGCATATGAGCTACCTTAGTCAATATAGCAGGGCATTTGAACTTGAAAATAATGTGCATTCTGTTGGGTACATTGTTCTGTAAATATCAATTAGATCGAGGTGGATAATACTGTTGGTCAAATCTTCTGTGTCTTTACTGATTTTTTTTAAATTTTATTTTTGTTACAGATGTTTCTTTTTTTACCCCATTGACACCCTCCTCCCCAGCCCCCCCACCCTGTCCCCGGCTTTGTTGTCCATGTCCATTGGTTATGCGTACATGCATATAAATTCTGTGGTTTATCTCTTCTCTCCCCCTACCATACCCTCTTCTGAGGGTTATCAGTCTGTACCCTACTTCCACGTCTCTGGGTCTACCCTATTCCTCAGACTGTTATGTTCATTATATTACACAAATAAGTGAGATCATGTGGTATTTGTCTTTTTCTGCTTGGCTTGTTTTGCTTAGGATAATACTTTCCAGGTCCCTCCATGTCATCTCAAAGGATAAGAAAGAGATCTTTCTTTCTTACAGCTGCATAGTACTCCAGAGGTGTGCTTATTTTAATCCTTGCTAATGTGTCAGCAGAAAATAAAATATTTTGTTGTTTTTATTTAAATTTCTTTTATTACTGGGAATTATTTTTTTTCTTTGCTACTATACAAAATTACTTTAAATTCAAGTCACTTTTTCATAGGGGAAGACAGAGGTAGAATAAAAAAGATCAAAACAAGAATCATAAGTAGCAAAGACTGGGAATAACAGCTGCCACTTCAACCCTTCCTACCTTGCTATGCCTGTTCTGAACTTCACAGGCATATATTTGTCAAGGGTATTATTTTTTTTTTTTTTTTTTTTTTTTTTTTTATCCTCACCCGAGGACACCTTTCCATTTTTTGTACAGATAGAGTGGGAGGGAGAGAGAGGAAGGGAGAGAGAGAGAGAAACATCGACGTGAAGGGACACATCGAGTGGCTGCCACCTGCATGACCAACCAGGGCCGGGGACAAACTGCAACCGAAGTACATGCCCTTAGCGGGAACCGAACCCGGGTCTCTCCGGACCGCAGGCCAACGCTCTAACCGCTGAGCCAAACCGGCCAGGGCATGTCAAGGGTATTATTAACAGCTAATTCTAATCCTGCCCTACATTTTTCTAATCCAATACTGAAAAGAAAACAAGGATTAGAGCCCATCTGAGCATTACTGCGAGTCAAGTCACCTGGGCTACTTCCTCACCAGTAATCCCCTGGCCATCACATTCCATCTCCCTTGTAAGTTCCCTTTGTGTGAAAAGAAAGAATAAAACCTCCGAGCCTGGTCCAGCCAGCTGGTCTTATTTCTTCGTGCCAAATCATGTGTACCTACAGCCAAAGCATCGCTCCACCACCCACCCTTTCAATGTAGATGGGACAAAACAGACCAGGGAGCTTCGACTTCTCCGTAATTATGAGGGCCACA